CGTTCTCATGTCAGTCATCATTCCTAGAAGCTCCCCTGTGGTGGCAAAATGGCTCTGCCCCCGATGGGAGTTCCATCACAGAGACAGACATGCGGAAGAATTGCGTGTGAGCGGAGAAGGAGCTTCGAATTTCACTTGCATTCGACACGGAGAGACAGAGAGAAGCTTTGAAATGCGACGCCGGATCTAAAGCGGGAATCGGAGAGCTTGACAATGGGGGCTAAAATGGGGTATGAATAGATGAGAGCCTAAATGCCCCCATTGCCCTATCAATTGTCTCCTCGGGCAGCGTCATCGACGGCTTGGGGTTTGTGGCACACTCGGGGCGGGGGTGACTTCTGGAGTTGATGGGTCACGCATTGTGGTGGAAAAAAATGGCATTGTGGGGGAGCGGATGAATTATTCAGCGGCACGAATGGAATTGCCAAATTGAATCTCACTCACTCGAGTGTCCATCAAGTGGCCGGTTTCATGCCATGAGGAGGATCATTCCGGTGAGTAGGTCACAAACACCACTGGAACCTTCCGCACAGTGACTTGGCGGAAAAGGGACTCTCTCTCACTCATCCTGGAGGGTTTATCAGCAGGACTAAAGAAGTTTCCTTTCCCCAAAAGGCCGAGACAATGTGTTCTTAAGCTGAGGGAAAATGGTGCATCGTTTATCCTGGGAAATCCAACCAAAATGTATTTCCGTGGGAATATTCATGATGGCAGCAGATGTTACCCTTAAAATTCATTATATGCACACCCTGCTCAAGATGTTGGGTATTAGAATATTATCAAATGTCAGCTGGCGATGAAACAATTCAGTCATTTCCCTCCATTTTCCACGGTGATGCAACGACAGTAATAATAAAAATCAATTGAACGCTAAAAATATACACCACTTAATTGTCCACCGTCATGAAGTTCACCCTTTTCCTCCAGTGCCAATCATCGTGTCCATTAGAATAATATCATATGATTCATTGGGGGAAAACTCATTTCCATTATATCTGAGATATTCTGGCAACAAAAATTTGATTAAGTGCACAGAATATTTTTTTGTGTTCCATCAATCAATTTGTGAGCTTTTTTTTCCCTCGTGTTTCACGTTCAAGCTTGAAAAATTCACCCTCAACACACTAGAAAGTGTAAAAAGGAGGAAGTAAACTTTAACAATCAATTTAACACCCGCCTTAGGGACTTTTCATGGGAATTTTATACAACGACCATCAACATGTTCTCTCGACTGAGCTTTTTTTCTTCGACTGCTCGTGGAGAAAAAAAAAATAAGTGAACGACGAAAAGTTTCAGCTGAATGAGTGAATGGGGAATATTCTTCACACCGTATAAATTCAGGGGATGCTCTAATTAAAAGTGGGTGAGAATGTTTCAAAAGGGGAAATAACAAGGAGAGGAAAATGAAATTGCAGATTGCCTGAAATGATTATATACTGTTCCGAAGGTGAATCATATAACATGCGCTCTTTTTTCTTCATCTTCCGCTCTCTCAATGGGAAATCATCAAAGAGCATCAAAGAAAAAACTTGCTGAATTTTTCATGTGTTGAAATAAATTTTCCCAAATTCTCCCTTTTATTCTAAGACTTCAGCATGAGGTTTTCCCTGTTTCGAACTCAATGCTGATTTTCTTTCTTGTTCTCTCCGAGAAGAAGGGAGAAAAGCTTTGTAAGCGACACGAGTGGAAGGGGGAGAGGAAAATTTGTTTTACCTCAGCAAACAGGGTGTGAAAGAAGTATGCTAATATTTTTATCAGATTCTTTCTGATGTATTTTCATCGAATGTCGCATATTCTTTTCCACATCCTGTGCGTTCGGATACTTTATCAATAATTCCCGAGAGCTTCACTTTCATCTCTCCCGACAATGTCCCAATGGAGCGAAGCAGGGAAATCATTGGGAAAGTCACATAAAGCATGCTCTCGTTCTGCATGAACGAGAAGCTCGTTCGCGTGTGGAAAATGTGGGAAAGCACCGTCAATCTCCTTCTCAAGATTGAACGATTTTTCGTCCCTCCCGCTTGAGAAAAAGAAGATACGCACAACAGAACCCAAAGAAGCATTTCACAGATAATTCACTTTCGATGTCGCCTTGAAGTTTTCACCATGGATATGGAAAACCACAACCAGAATCTGCATGATAATGCTTAAGACAAATATATCAAAGTGTCGTTACACAAGCGGGAAGGAAAGTTTCTCATCACAGCGCGATGAGGAGCAATTTAACCGCATTTTGCACCCCTTCTTACGTTGTGGATTCACTCGAGATCGATCATGAATAGGGATTTGGTGTGGGGTTAAATCCCTAAACTGAATTTTCAGAGGAATTTTCAATTTACTCTAATGGCTTTGCTTATCAGAAGTGAAAGCTGTCGATTTAGCCGAGTATTTGTGTATCCAAAGGGGAATTTGATCAACAGATGATAAGCAAAGTGAAGGCAAAACAAGTCTTATTTTTTTTACCCCTTCACCATCTTCTATGATCAATTACAGAGTTATTTGCCATGTGAGAATAATAAGAAATAAATGACCATCAGCGGTCTATCAATTACTTGACATCACATGATGATTGCGCTTTTCAGGATATTGAAATTTATAACCAATTCGAATGGCCTTTTGCCATGTGAAATTACACCAATTAAAATGTCTTCAATCAAGCGTTCACCTGAATCAATTACTTGTCAACCCCAAAAATTCTCTTGGGCGCCCACGGCATTAATAAAATTGTATTGAGATAATCCCTAATTGGTCTCCTTTGAAATTAATCCTCGGTGCGTTGGTGGTTTTCTTCTGGATTTTCCACCGCAAAGGCGATTGTGTCATCTTTTTCCGTCCTCCACGCTCTTTCTGGTCGAGGTAGAAAAGGAGAAGGGAAGAAAAAAAGAAGGGAGGCAAGACAGGGAGATGGGAAATTGATTTTTAATATTTCTTTCTCTTACACCCCACAAAAAATATTATTTCTTATTGTTCACCCTCACATCCCTTCTGCGTCAACAAATTGTGACGATCTTGACCTTTTGTGAGGGCGAGAAATGCGCCTTAGTGTAGCTTCACTAAGAAGCTTCAATTCAACGTAAACTTTCTATAAAGTAATTGAGGGAGAGTAAAAAAGAATTTTTCTTGAATTTCACTAAATACTTGTGCAAATTCAGCTGAAAATCGGGCTTCATTAGCTATTTAAGCGACGCAAAATGCTGTAAAGCGAGCACTTTCCTCTCAATTGACCACTTTTCTGACTCCACTGTGCGACTTAACGAGAGCAATTTCAGCGAATTCACAGGCAAATTGCCTTCGGGGTGCGTTTGAAATTTAATTGGGAACTTTTCTTTCCCTCCCCCTCCCTCTCCCCAAATTAAACTTGCAGTGGAAATTGATTTTCCATCGCTGGGCACTCCAACTTTCCCGAGGGCACAAATATTTACCACGAGACAGAAATATTGACCAGCACGCAAATCGCATTTTTGAGGAGGGACCGCCGGGAGTGCGGGTGAAATCGTTATTCAATAATCCTGCTAATAATTAATGACATGTCGATCAGACAAAAGGGACAAGAGACTTTCTCACTTGCACTGAGTCTAATGTACTTGTGGAAAATGGGGGAAAATGTGTCAGCAAAGGAGAAATAGTAAAAATGTGGTTCAAATATGTATTTGAAGAACTTTCTGTGTGTGTCACAAAATTACCATTATTTTCCAACGCTTTTTGACTATTTGCATTTCTCGTTCACCTTTCCAAAATCGATGCTTTTGTAGTCTTATTTTTCAGATTTATGCCCTTAATTCTCAGACTTAGAGAGAATTTCTACGATTATCTTTTGAAATTCAATATTGATTGATTTGTATAAAAATTTTATTGTAATCATTTATTTATGTATTAAAATAAATATTATATTTCCAAGCAATGAAAAATAAAGTGACTGACGAAATAGGCTTCCTTGAACTACTTAGGAATTGCCTTGATTGTTTGCTGTTCTCCACAAAGTTTCATGGAAATTATCATGGGTTTTTCAGGAATTGAAAGCCTTTTGATCCTTTCTGAGTATAGTTTCTTCCTCTCCCAGAAATCGACGAGTTTATTGACGTCTTATGTGTTTTTGGACAGATCTTTATGTCTTCAACCGTGTCTGCCATTAATATATTAGGTTCAACGGCAAAAAATGATAGAAATAAGATTTATTTTAAAAAATTTCTGGGTAGAAAAATTTTTATGTTGCACTGAAAAATTAAAAAACTCGGATTTCATGCGAATTAATTATTATTTGGCCTGTTTTAATTGTTTTGCACCCCTAAATTCACTTTAAATTATTTACAGTGATGGAGATAATTTTGTGTGGTAAAAATATGAAATATGGAAAAAAAATCTTAGCGAATAATTCTAAATTCTGAATAAAATCAATGAAATTACATGAAAAATCAGTCAAATTGTGAATTCTATTCGGAAAAGCAAGTCACAGAATCATTTTGCAGAATAAATCTCATGAAATCTCAACAAGAAACGGCTTTTTGTACGTCTTATCGTGAGTTTGTGTATCAATTCTGCATATTTTAATGAATATTTCAATAATTAATGAAATCAACTGAGAGAAATTATAGAAAATATTTGAAATCTTGATGAAAAACTGATCAATTTTATCAAATTGAAGGAGAAATTATTCTCATTTCGAAGCGTTTTCAAATCACAAACTTCAAATTGCTCTCCTGAAGAATGGCGCTTTTGATTTTAAAGAGTTTTCGAGACACCCGTCGAAATGTTGCCATCTGTTTGGTTGTGAAATCAAAAAGATATCGAATCTCTTCTTTTTTATCATGCAAATTCCTTCGCAACTTTTCTCATGTGAATATCAACCCAAATCCAGCAGGATAAAATCCTTGTGAAAGTATTCAAATTAGATTTTCCTCTTCAACAAAGTTCAGAACGTGTTGAGTGGAAAATTATACTTTTGGATCGAAATCGAGTGATTTGCATTTTCACCTCAACTTTCTTTTTCTATCTTTCTGCAGCCGAAGATGATGGCAATGGCGAAGGATCGACATGTGGACGCATCCTGATTCTGCTCTCTTGGCTCCTCGTCATCGTCACGATGCCTTTCAGCCTGCTGGTGTGCTTCAAGGTGGTGCAGGAGTACGAGAGAGCGGTGATTTTCCGTCTGGGACGTCTTATGCAGGGCGGAGCCAAGGGTCCAGGCATCTTCTTCATCCTGCCCTGCATTGACGCCTACGCTCGCGTGGACCTCAGGACCCGAACTTACGATGTGCCGCCACAGGAGGTGACAATTTCCCAAGGGTCCGTGCGCGCCCAGGAGTTTAAACCATCCCTTTTTGTCCTCGCTTTCAGGTGCTCACGAAGGACAGCGTGACTGTGTCTGTTGACGCTGTGGTGTACTATCGAGTGTCCAATGCAACAGTTTCTATTGCCAATGTCGAGAATGCTCATCACTCAACGAGACTCTTGGCTCAGACAACCTTGCGGAACACAATGGGAACGAGACATCTTCATGAAATCCTGAGCGAACGCATGACAATATCAGGCACGATGCAGGTGAGAACAGTGTCACTCAAATCTGTACACCACCTCAACAAATTTGTGTGCAGAATCTTCAACATTTGGGTTTCAGACACTTTAGAACACTTTTAAAGGCATTTTTATCGTGTTTTTCGTCTCAAGAAGTCTTCAAATACTTAGATTTCAGATTGTAAAGACGGATCTTTAAGTTACTGGATTCTTTCATGATAAATTTCCGACTAAGAAAACCCTTCTTGGATTAATTTTAATCCTTTCTAAATGTTCTTAAATGTTTATCAATTAAATTATGAACTTGAGTTTATTACTTTAAATTTCTAATCACAGAAATAATTAAGCAAAAAGACTTAATGCGTCAATTTGTTGAAACAGAAGCTTTTGCAGTGCAAATATTTTACTACTTCTAATTCCTAACAATTCAGTAAAGCTGTACACCACTTCCGATCATAATATCTGCCCCTTGGTTGGGGTGCAATGCAAATTAACGCTACACCGAGCGTGCAAAAGTGTGTGATAATTAATAAAATCTCCCCTTGACTTTGTTCAAATTAATTAAAACGTCAATTAAGGCGAGTCGAGAGGAACTATTCCCATCGACATTCTTCTCCTGGGAGCGTCGGAACAATGTGCAGCGCTGCACTTGAGCAATGTTTATCACGGGAAATCCTCTTGAGCCCGAATTCCTTCATTCAATCTTTATTAATTAAATTCGATAATTCCGCTGTGCAAATTTGCCTGAACAAATGTGTTCCTTTTCCAATGCAATCGTCGCTTGCAGAGCTCTCTGGACGAGGCCACGGACGCGTGGGGAATCAAGGTGGAGCGCGTGGAGATCAAGGATGTGCGTCTGCCCATTCAGCTGCAGCGCGCCATGGCGGCCGAGGCTGAGGCCGCCAGGGAAGCCCGTGCCAAAGTGATTGCCGCCGAGGGAGAGCAGAAGGCCTCCAGGGCCCTTCGGGAGGCGTCAGAGGTCATTGGAGACTCACCGGCAGCCCTGACTTTGCGCTACTTGCAGACGCTGAACACCATTTCTGCTGAGAAGAACTCAACTATTGTGTTCCCGATTCCCATCGATCTCTTCAAGTCTTTGATGCCAAATAGTCACGCCTCTGTCAAGCATACCGAGAATGCCGATATGTCCCTCTAAAGCAATCCCCAGAAGCGTCCCAAGACTTCTCAAGTAACTTGAATTTCTCAATGTGTGTAAAACGGTTTCTCAAACCATCAAAAATCTACGTGGAAAAAATGTGTGGAGAAATTACTAATTAATCTTTAAGACATGATAAAAATTTCTTTGTATGTTGTTGCGTCACTACACAACTTATCAACGCATTGCATGGATAAATTTTATACTTCAGCCATGAAGGAGTGTTAAGAGAAGAAGATTAATAAAAATGAGAGTAAAGTAAAATTAAAGTAAATTTCTAATGCAAAACAAAAAAAAAACCTGTTGACGCCTCAACAGATAACGAAACAATGAAGATAAAAGGAATAAATATATAAAATGTAATGAATTAAAAAACCAAATATTAACAAAAATTACGCTTAAATGAACGTGGTTAAAAGAACAATGGATAAAAGTCACTGAATAAACAAAGATGGTTCTATTTACAATGACTTAAAATTATTGATGAATAAACCTAAGATTTTATATAACTTAGTAAAGTGGAAATGAGAATGAGTGTATCAAAAAAAAGAATTAGTCATATTCACCATGGATTTATTAATTATCATTGTGACATTGCACGATACAAATTTATTGTTACAAAAATCTCAATGGGAAAATTTTACATTTTCGAAAAAAAAGGAAACAATTCTAATTGTCATTTTATTCTCTCATAAGTGTAATTTCTAATTACTTGATTTTTTCGGTGTTTTAACTCGATGTAGTGCGATAATTCAATTCTGTACATCAGATGCAGATTTTGGTAACAAGAACTTTACGGATTAGCCAAAAACAACCACAATTGTAATCTCTGCAGAATCCTGCGAGACGCATTGTAAGGTACTTAATAAATAATCGAACTACATATTAAGGAAAGTGTTTTAGATAAAAAATTGAAGGAAAATAATACATTCTGGTTTACGATGCAATGTGAAATACCACAGCTCCTGCCAGGATCCAGTGTCCTGCGAAGCCCAAGAGCCGCCACTTGTCCCACACCGCCACAGCTGCGGATGCAATTGAGGTGTGCTGCGTTCCATCAAACAAGGCGCCCAAGTATGTGAGTTGCAGCAGAGCAATTGCGCCAAAGAGGATGTTGATGGCAATTGTCCTGAAGCCACTGTTGCTGTGCTTGCAGTTGCTGCACTTCCTGGCCGCGATGCAGGCGCCGAACACTGAGGAGATCTTTCGACGGACTGTGAACTCTGCCCAGGAAGCGACGGCCAAGTGCATGAGGACAGCCGACAGAGGTGGACTCAGGCCGTGGAGAAGAGCTGAGATGAGGTAGGTGATGATGAGCGCAAAGACAGCTCCTCGATTCCGACAAGGATCGAAGATGTATCGCTTCAGCCAGGCGTGCATGGGAAGATTCCAAGCCACAGCGACGTCCACAAGAGATCTGGGCACTTCTGTCGCCAACGCGTGAACGATGGGACGCGTGTCTGAGGCTGCAACTATCAGGGAAGCTCTGGCAACGTGACTGACGAAGTAGTGACCCAGGCGGAAGGACAAGGCGTCTCTGTAGGCTTCCAGCCATCGCCAGGATGAAGGCACCAGAGATGCCACGAGACAATTTGACGTCAGGAGTGTGAAAGTGGCCACAAAGAGCGACCAGAGGCCAGAGAGAGCGTCCTGAAAGGAATCAATTGTATCACAAGAGATGTTTTCAGCCATCAGTGATGATGGCATACTTGAACACTCCACAGAGCTCGTCTGGGGGCTGCTGTGTAGTCCTCCAGTGGCCGCCAGGGTCCGAATATAAGTGCTGGCGGGTGCATTATGTATCCAACAGCCGTGTACCAAGGCACACAGCCTCCGTCAAAGGCCAGGGAGATTCCTTTCATGGCGATGCCCATGTTCACGCCTCTTATCTGCTGCCATCGATCAGCGTCTGAGTCTAGGAATTCGAAGAGAATGGGCGCCACCAGACCCACTCCAGTGTGCACTGCACTCGAGATGATCCTTCTCTGGACGCACTTCAGAAGGATAACGTGGAGGAATGCGATTGCAGCCACCCAAACTCCATTGGGTCCTATAATGAGTGTGAGCAGCGCGACGCCAAGAGTGGTGCTGATGAGGTCTCGCCAGAAGGGACTTCGAGTGCCTGAAGAAGGGCTGTTATTAGCATGAGAAGCTTGAGATTTGTGTAGCGGAATTACTCAAAAGTGAACTGCTGACACGATAAAAGGCGCTTATTGTGAGAATGACGCCAACTGCTGTGCCCATTTGCATGGCAACGGGCACCATGCATCCCTCCCAAGCGCCCTCCAGTCCCCAGCCCACCGGCACTCTGTCCTCCACTTCCTCCGGGTAGTCCTCGTAGTAGTCATCGTAGAGAAACTCCTCCATTCAGCAAAAACTACCGGCGAAGCCGTGAAACTGACAGATGGCTCGCGTGTGAAGTTGGCAGCAAACTGCGTAATGTTTCAAAATTTCATGCATTTCATGCGCATTTCGTGAAACTTTCCAGAGTTTATCGCTTGTCAATTTGCACAGCTGATAATGTTGTTCAACAATGGTTCTTGAGTGAAAATCATCGCCACGCAATATCCGTCGCCTGCACAATGCCTGAAGCTACACAGGATGACTATCCCACATGGGTAAGATTCAGCGGAGTCCTCCTAAATTCAGTGTTCTCATGATTTGCGGGGTGTTTTGCTTTGCAGCTGGGGATGGTCTTTGTGTTCAACCTCATCATAGGCACAGGGGCTCTGACACTGCCCGCAGCCTTCGCCCGAGCTGGCTGGCTGGGGGGCTCCGTGATGGTGCTCCTGGTGGGCTTCATCTCCTACGTCACAGTCACCTTTGTCATCGAAGCAATGGCCAGTGCCAATGCCATCCTCCATCTGCGCTCCGTCCTGAAGCGCCGCACCGCCAGAGCTGGGGCTTCAGACTCTGACTCCGACGCTGCCGAGAGCTCTCCCCTGGTCAGCGAGGAGGGCACGCCCTTCTCCCTGGCTTCGCGCGTCGAGATGGGCGAAATGGCCACAATCTACTTCACAGGAACTGGCGTGGCAGTTTTCTATCTCTGCCTCGCCATTTACCTGTACGGCGATCTCAGCATCTACGCCGCGGCGATCGGGACGAGTCTCAAGGATGTCATCTGTGCAGCCGGGAACGTGACTGATCCCCACGCTCCCTGCTGGCCTGATCACTCCTTCACGCGCATCGAGTGCTATCGCGCCTGTGTGGTGGCCACGGGACTCCTGCTCGGCCCCTTTGTCTTCTTCAACGTGCAGAAGACAAAGTACATCCAGATACTCACCGTCATCTTCCGGTGGTGTGGTGAGTTCCACTCTATTTCCCGCTTCCGGGCTGTTTCTCACTCACTTCGCTCGCCTCTTTTCAGCGTTCACTTCGATGATCGTAATGGCTGTGTCGCGCTTGATTCAGGACGGAGTTCAGGGCCATCCAGGCCCTGTGATCCCCACTGGAATCCCCAGCCTCTTCGGCACTTGCATCTACTCCTTCATGTGCCACCACTCCTTGCCGAGTCTCCTGGCGCCCGTGCGGGAAAAGCGTCATCTCACGTGGACTCTTCCACTGGACTTCATCCTCATCGCCATCTTCTACATCCTCCTCGCCCTGACTGGGGTCTTTGCATTTGACAAGCTGGACGACTTGTACACCCTGAACTTCCTCGAGAATCCCGGCGAGGGATTCACCCGCGTGATAGACTACTTCCTGGCCCTCTTCCCGGTCTTCACGCTCAGCGCCAGTCTTCCCATCGTGGCCATCACGCTGAGGAACAATCTCCAGGCAATCTTGGTGGCTGGCAGAAGAAATTCCGTCACTTGTCGCGCTCTGTTGCCTCTCCTGGCACTCCTTCCGGCCTTCGCGGTGACACTCCTGACCGACAGTCTCAGCTCTCTGGTGGGATTCACGGGAACCTACGCCGGAGCGGGCGTGCAGTACATCACGCCTGTGGCTCTGGTCTACTGCGCTCGAAGGCAGATCTCAGCTCTGATGCCCTCCTCGCCCAATCCCCACCGTTCTCCCTTCCAGGGCAACAAGTGGCTCCTGCTGGTGGTGATCTGGTGCGCCCTCGGAGTCGTTCTGGTCACGGTGAACTTCTTCACCAGCGTGGCTCATCCTCCCTGAACCGCCCAATTGCCAAAATAAAGATATTTACACTATTATTGTGACAAAAAGGATGATCGAGTTTTATTTTATTTTGTCTGTGAAAGGTTCTCAATGTCACCTGTCGAATGGTGATATTCATTAACTATAGTTAATCAATGGGCAAAATTGTCTTTTATGAGGCGTTTTCTCTCGTGTAAATGCTGTAAAATGCCATTCATGGCATTCATGTCTCAATTTAGCTAAATGTGTGTTATGAAATTTGATGCTCAGTGGAGCGCGGATAATTTTATTGCGTTGCTCTGCATTATTTCGACCAAGGGGGAGATAATTGCACTTTTTAAATATTGTATTCTTGATTAGAATCATCATATCGCTGGAGCATCTGAAAATACTGCCAGGAGTGATTAATCGCTCCTGTGCTTGATCATTATCAGCAGATAAGGATGTCTTCTCATATTGAACGCCTTGAGCGGAATAAATTCAACAAATTGCAGGGAGACAGAGTGAGTAAGACAATTCCAGTGAAGCGTATATTTCAGCTGGAACATTTCACAGCAATAGCACTTTGGACTTCTTTTATTTGCCATTAAAAAGGCCTAATTTTGGAATGAATGTGCAAGAATACTGCAAATTTCCAATGCTTGAAGAGTCAGATAAATTTGGGGGTGTTTAGGAAGTGGTGTACAGATTTAAGGCATATTATTTCCCCCTTGATTTCGAGCGATGTTCCGAATTGGAATTGAGATTCTTGCCACGCGTGGAAAAGAATAATAAATGATTTATTTCACTAACATTTGCAAACAAAAACGCACTACAACAATTTCGTAATAAATACAGACAATAGGCTAAGAACACGCAGGATCACGCGAGGGATCATCCATTGGTGCAGGGCTGTTGGACGTAATCTAGGCAGAAGCCGCGATTGTCCAAATCCGTGGGCGCTTCGGTGGAGTCCGTGTGGAAGGCGAGCCTGAAGGGACGCACACTGGAAGCGACAGTTCTCTCAATGTTGTTCACCTCGGCATTGAAGGTTCCGCCGCAGATCCGATCCTCACAGTAGGAGTTCGTGGGCTGGCGATCAGCCACTCGGGCGCAGCCGATCATCAGCCAGTCGCTGGGACAGGAGTTGGGAATGTTCTGGGCGCCGCTGCCCACCATGGCGGGCACCAGAGTGTTGCTATTCCCGGACAGCGTGAAGGATCGCGAACGATTGTTGACTGTGTCAGGACAGGCTGAGTACTGGATGCTGCAGAAGTTCCTCTCGCTGCGCACACAAATGCTGTAGTCTTGGTTCGAGAGCTGACGACCGTTGGTGAGGTCAAAATTGAAGCTGCGCACTCTGCCATTGACTCCAGTGTGGTACTGAAGACATCCCTGATCAGCCTGGCCATCAGAGCACGAGATTAAATCAGAATCTTCAATTTCCAACCCCCAAAAAACCCACCTTTGAGATGCTTCCGCAAGGGATTTGGGTGACTCTGATCCTCCAAGCGCGCCCGAAGTTAGTTCCACTCGTGATGACTGTCAGGATGATGGGATTGCTGACGCCCATCCCAGCGTCTATGTACATGTGATCCCCAATTGCTGTGCCACAAATTGTCGGCGCTGGACTTCCTCCAGACACCAGAAACTGGTCAGAATTGCAAACGTGGTTCAGAGTTTCCGGTCCCATCAATGAAAAGTGATCGAAGTCCAGTCTTATTTGGCAAATGTCCGGATGGAGTTTGTAGATGGTCAGTTGGCAACTTCCTGTTCCTTCGTAAGTGTCCGGATGGTTGGGATTGACAAAGTAGGTTCCATTTTCCCTAATTATGCCACCGCAACTGGCCACAACTGCAGATCAAGACGAAAAGAGGTTCAATCGAAGGTTGAGATCACAATTCAACGGGTATTTTTGGAAAGTTTTTTATCTTATCTAATAGTAAAAAAATCTTATGTTATCCAAAAAACACTTTTTTTATAAACTGAGAATAATATTTGTCATATCTTTTAATTTTTTTACTTGGAAACTCTAAAGAAAAGTTCATGTAAATTTGAAAAATTGATTTTTTTAGAATAATTTTTGGATAAAATGTACTTGAAGATGGTTTAAAATTGACTTTGGAAAGTAATATTTACAGTTTTTTACAAACTTTGCCATATTTTATTATAAAGTTCCAATAAATACCTATAAAATAATTATTACACAGCAATTTCAGTACTCTAATGATCAATTGGGAGGTGTTTTGAGGTAAATTTGGCAAATTTCTGCTGAAAAACTGGAGAAATTGATTTTCTCACTATAATTTCTACTCACAAACGCAACACATTCCGTAACCATTGGCACAGGGAGCGGCCGGGATTCCACCTCTCATTTGGCACTCATTCCCCGGGAAGCAGTTGCCCACCTCTCCCGTGGGAGCCACGCACTGTCCCTGACCCCACTGGACCACAGTGAAGAGGGAGAGCCCTGAAATTCACCCGTCAATCATCAAACTGAGCACTTCATCACCACACTCAATGATCCTCTCTTACATCTCGCATCTCTGGGCGACACCTGGAATGGTGCTCCGAATTGCCTGGATTTCCCCCAAAATCCCATTTCCCCGTGACTTCTGGCCACCAGAGAGGCCACAAGGAGCACCACTGAGCACAAATCCAGGACGATCCTGGTCATTTTCACCACACTTTCGCCGAAGAGACACGCGAACAGCGAATGAGCCCGGCTGATGAGTTGTGGTGTGATTTTATAGAAGAGCTTCGTGGTTTCCGTGCAAGCTTCCGTGGCGACGAACAATGAACAATGCGTGGATCACACCGAGAGTGACGAGCGCGAGTGTCTCTCAGGTGGGCAAAAAAGGTGGCAATTTAACGCTTTTTCGTTTAGCCATTTTTTTATATTTTCAATTTCATATGAATGAGCAAAAGAGAAAAATCATTGTCGCATAAATATTCGTCTCGACGCTTTCCCTGCATCGCTCACTTCCTCTGCAATTGCATTCCAAACCACGAGAAACACACAAGAGAAGAAAAAACCATCATTTTCCAATGCATTTAATCTCCATCTGTTTTTTTTTTATTCATTCCTCACCATCTGTACAGTCACAAAATGGTCCATTAATAGCTAATTAGGAAAAGAAGAGTTGTTGTTTCGATTGAGTTTTACTTGATTCATAATTTTTTCTTCTTGCTCTTTCCCACATGAAACAGTCGAGAATTTCCACTTGAGAAATTTTGCGTTCTTTTTTTTGTTATCTTCTCCCTTCAATTATTATCACAACTTTTGGTGCATTTTGCCTCAATCTTTTTTACTACTTGCGAGTATTTTTCTGCCCTCGAAAAAAGTAAAGAAAAGAAAAATCAGAAAGTTCAGCGTCGCTAATTTGGTATTTTCTCTATCTCTAGTCGCATGCTCTCTAGATTCCTTGAATGTAAGTTGCAACGTGTTGCTTCTCCTCCTCGGTCAAGCCATTCTTCAGCGTCCTGCGCACTGCAAAAGCCAATTGCGAGACTTAGTAAATATTCCACTGAACAAACATCCTTCAAACTCTCTCTAAATATTGAAAATATTGTTAGAAATCATCATCTTCTTCATCATTAAAATCGTCAAACTACCAGAGTTAATCGATCATGCAAAAGCGGTTCTCTTTTTTTTTTCTTCAAACACAAAACAACCAACAACTAACCCAAGATTAAAAGTGTCTCTTGATCATATTTCTGATGACACTCCAGTGCTTTCGACAGTGAATCCTTCGCGCGTTCTTGACCTCTTCACTGAATCATATTTGAAAGGGTTAATCCATCACCGATCGTGTGTCAGAAACTTGTGGGAAAGGAGAGTGAAAAAGACGCCTCGGCGTCACACTTACAGGACTTTCGATCGGCGTGTCGGGTGCGTTTTCGTTCGCGTGGTGTCGATCTTGTGCCCGGCGCCTTCGTGGCCGTCTTCACCAGCGACTCCAGGATCTCATCATCGCCATCCGTGAAGTTCTCATCCCTGGCGACCGTCTTGGGCGAGTGCAGATTCTCAGGACGACGTCGTCGCCACGTGAAGGCATTCCCCTTATCCGGTGTGTCCACAGTTGTCAATGGAGAGCCCAACAATTGCCTGGCAGAATGGCATGAAAAGACTTAAATTAACATCTTTCGTGTGCCGGAAATTTGGCATTTTAAGCACTTTTTCTTCAAAATTTTAATAAAAATAATGAAAAAAAAAGATTCTTTTCCAAGTAAATTTGCAAAACAATAAAAAAATTTCATATTTTCGGTCAAAATACGTAAATAAATCAAATTATTATTCAAAATTTTCTGGATATTTAATTAAAATTTGAGTATTTGATCATTTTCCCGACATATCGACGCCAGAGGGCAGCAAAGTTGGCGTGGGGGACGCTAAAAATATCAGATTTTTCGCATTTCTTTCACTGACAAATAATAAACTCCTTTGGCAAAAATCTGGTTGAAGATTGGTTCAAATCTTTTCAACACGAAGTTTCTGAAGCACCAAAACTCCGTAAACTCATCTTAAGACATTTTCCCGCAAATTTCTCACCTCAATTCTGCATCTGCTCTGTCTTCTTGCGTCTTAAATTTGCCCACATCGATGATCATCTTCCCTCTGGTCTTGTTCCTCTCCCTGTGATTGGCCTTCTTCTCGATCTGCTGCTGCACGCGCTCCCTCGTCGTTCTGTACTCCAGAGCAAACTCCGACACGATCCGGCAGAAATCATTGGGCTTCGACTCGGCAATTCTGTGCTGCGGCACGCCGAGCCACATGAGGAATTTCCTATATCTGTTAATCACTCTCCTGTGGACGATATCCAGAATGATGATCCTCTCGGCGCAATCAGCTAGGAAATCCACCAGCTTCTGCTTGAGATGCGGCGGACAATCGTGCTTGGAGATGAGCTTCAATCGATCCCAGGAAGCTTTGCATTCCTGCTCCAGATGCACAATATTGTGCGCCAGGTCGGAAAAGTCCGCCTTTGACGCTCGCGTGATTGGACCGATCTCTGAGTAGAGATCCGTGGTGTCTGGCGAGGATTCCATGACCATGTGACAGAGATGATGCAGCAGAGAGTGCTTGTGCACAGTGTCCTTCACTTCAGGCACCTTCGCCAGATACTCAATCTGAAATCCCTTCACTGGCTGACCATTGAGGAAGATTCCCACCTCCAGCAGTGTCGCCAGGATGCATTTGAACGTCTTGTTGGCCTTCAGGAGCTCAAGACCCTGCTTCAAATCCATCAGTGGCTCCGCAATCTCCTTCTCACTGATCTCAAAGTCCAACTTGAATGCCCACAACTTCAATCTCGCCGCCAATTCGGATATCGACGACAGCGTGAGGAGAAATTGCTCAGCATTGCCAAGTGGCAGTTCGGGATTGATCATCTGTGCTTCCTGGATCTTTCCTCGCTCCTCCTCCGTGGGCAGCATGTTGAGGAGCTTGTCGATGCCTTCTCTGGTCACAACAGTGGCGTCCATCTTCAAAATGGCCGCCTTTATTGCACGCGGCGGAGGAAGTTTGGTCATTGCAATATTGATGGCATTGGATCGCTTGTGATCCAACACGATGATCTCCTTGTTCTTGTTCATCTCCTGTTGTTTCTGCAGGAACACAAGACACTCTCAGAACCCATTTTGTGCCTCATTTGAGTAATCAATTGAGGGAAGGTGAAAATATCAGCTTCACTTTTGACGTGCTGGGAAACTCAACAGTGTGCAAAGAAACAGTGAAATAGACTACAGAAGGAGAACCCCAAATGAAAGAAGAATGAGCAACAAGAAACTTCTCTCAACCCAATGAAGGGAGAATATGTTAGTAAGAATGACAAATACAAGATGATGATCAGAGTGAGCAGGATGAGAAGCAGAGCAACAAAAGGAAACAATAAATACAAGAGAATATATAAAACTCACCTCCTGCAATAATCAGAATAGAGTGTGATGGCCAGAAAGCGTAAGTTTTTTTTTTGGTTTATAGTTTTTATAAAATTTGAAAAATATTTGCAAAAAAGAACAAAATACAAAAATATCAATTAGTAAGAGAAAACAAAACAAAAATAAGACTATGAATCTAATAGAAATATTTATAATCTAAGGCTAGAGACGTGATGGTGTAGGCGAGACTCTAGGCTAGAGTGTCTACTGATTGATCTAGAGAAATCTAACAGAGAAAAATTGAAGGTGTCCTAAAGAAAGGAAAGAAACGATATTTTCCAACAAATCTCATTGTAGTTTGATAATGGAAAATGATTTCCGGATTTACTTGAATCCCAAAGATCACGTTTTTTTTTTTGGCTACGCTCATGCTGTCTAGACATCTCTTTACAGACCTCTAAAGACGTCGTGAGGAAGCCAAAAACCGATCAGAATTTGATCACAATGATTGAAGACTTGTGCCAAGCGCGACACCTTGAATGGGCACACGTTGGAGGTTGAGCAAAAAGTGACTCCAATTGTTCGCGCAGTGACAAAAAGTGTGATTATGCATGTGAGTAGGATGAGGAGTCAAAATAATGCCAGATGACGAAAGCGCGTGAATTCACCCAAAAAGAGAAAAAAACGGCGGCAAAAAGCAGCTAAATCGCATTAGGAGAGGCGCAACTGTTCCAGATCAAGTCCGCGGCGCGGCATTGTTTTGACGACGCGTGACATGGAAATATGAAGAGAGAGAGAGAATCTGCAGATCCACAGGAGAGTCTTACCTTTGTCATGAGATCTTTAGCGCGCGACTCAAAGAGGTGCTCAAGTTTATCCGTATCCACATTGGCTGGCGGCAATTCGTCCCAAACTGTGCGTCCCACAATGGCTGGAATCATGTCTTCGCGCACTTCCTTCCAGAACAGCTTCACAGTCTTCTTGGTCTTCTTCACGGATGCGTCGCCATTGCACTTGCCCGGGCCATTGAGCAGCAGCGGCGGCGGCACGAGATTTGTCGGCGGCGGCAGAAAGGGTGGCGGCATGCCAAGTGGCGGAGGCGGCGGTGGAATTGTTCCGCCCAATCCTCGCGGCGCCAGCACATCCTTCTCATCCTCCGATCCGAGATCCGTGAAGTCCAGATCGCAGAGATTCAGCGGCCGACTCATGTTTCTCACCAACTCCTCCCAGTGCAGCTCATTCTCGGACTTCTTGGGCTCGGGCGAGGCCTTCTTGAAGTCCTGATCCACACTGGGCGAGCGTGAAATATCACCGCGACTCTTGCTCTTCGCCAGGCCCTCTTTGGCTTTCGAGATCAGGCCCGTCATGTCACCTATGCGATTCTGAGGCTTCTCCTCTTGCGGACTCATGGGCAAATTGCTCAGCTTCTGCGTGAGATCCTTCACTGTGTGATCACGCTTCAGCTGCAGCAACAGCTTCTTCTCCTCATTCACGTCAGAATCTGCAAGAAGGGACAAAATCAGGATGAGATTCAGTTGAAATGTCTCTGCAGAGGCGCAACATTTCACATGACGAGACATAGAAGAATGGTTAGAGCACTCATGATCAAAAGCTCAGAGAACTTGCCTGCGGCAGGATCGAGAGGCGGCGGCGCCGCTGCGTGGCCATTCTTCGACAGTTGTGTGTAGAAATTATTGAGGCGATTGGACTCCGTCTCGAACAGCCGATGCTGCGGACTCGAAGCATCGGGCAGCACTTTTGGGTAACCGGCAAAGCCATTAGTCAGCCGGTAGTTGCCACCGCCGCGGATCACAACCAGCGGCGTCTGCAGGCGCACCGGCACGGCAGTCACGAGGCCTTCACGCATGGTTAGTGTGACAACAACAACACACAGAAAAGCACAAGAGATGATTTAGTGATGATACACACACAGAGCGCGACAGACACTCAACTCACCGTGGCCATTCTCCTCGCCACTGTTGCCATTCGTGAGTCTGCTGGCGGCATCCTGCTGCTCACGCATGAAGCTCTTCTGTCTCTCCGCACGCTCACGCCGCCTCCGCAGTCCGGGCGTCACGCCAGCACCTTCACGCGGTGCTAAGATGAAATAGAGAAGAGACAGCATTGATTTCACGGACTGCTTCAATTTTCCGACTCGCGCAAATCATACTTTTGTCCCTGCACTCGCGGAAGACGCAGTTCAACTCCGTGGAGTTCTGCGAACTTGAGCTGTCCTCATCCACCGACTGTCCAGCGGGCATTGTGTGATTGAGCGGAAGTGGCGGAACTGGCGGCGCCGGCGTATTTCCCGTGCTGTGACGCCGCGATTTTCGCCTCTCCGCCGAATCCGTGGCTCTGTAGCGCAGCGTCTTTCTCACCGAATTGTCGGGAATGCGAATGCCATCCGTTTCGCCGTCCTCAAACCTGCCCCGGTGTGCGGAGGAAAGAAAGAAAAAAAGAAACGAGACGACGAAGCATGAGTGCCAGTTTCTCTACGTTCTTGGGGCTTATCGCCCGCGTGGCAAAAAGTTTAATTACTTGAGAACCGCTTCGTAGAGTTGCAACTGGTCCAGCAGATCCAAATCGGTGCCAGGTCGTGACATATACCTCTGGATCACTCCCTCCATGCCCTGCTGCTCGAGGAAGTCACTCTCATCGTAGAAACTGTCCTGATCACTCAGGCCGGACAGTGTCTTATTGATGAGGGATGTCGCATAGATGAGCAGCTCAGTATCCGCGTTCTCGTAGTCTTTCAGCAGACTTCGGATAAAAAAGTAGAATATGAGAAACTGCGCTTAGGCAATTGCAATGCGCTCAAGTTTCGCTGAAACTTTCACAAAGAGAGGAAAAATGATAACGGATAAGTCATCAAAAAGGCGAAAAATCATCAAAACATGATCTTCTTTTAATTTGAAATTTAATTATTTGATTATTTTTCCCACATATCGCCGCGAGAGGGCAGCAAAGTTGGCGTGGGGGACGCCAAAAAAAGCATTTTTCGCATATTTTCTCCATTTTCACACCAATTCTCACATTTTATGGCTTCCATGCGTGATCTTTGCCAGCAAAAGATGAATTTTGAGCTCAAAAATAAAGCTTTTCGGGTAGAAAAAGTCTGGTTTCATGATCAGCTAATCAGATCATCTAGTTAGAGAAATTCATGTAGAAGTTTCGATTGTATTTCAGATTATTTAGAGACGTTTTAACCCACCAAATTAGCTCATTGTTAAAATTGTAGTATAGATTGGTTTGTAAAAAGCAATCGGAAATCCTTTATGTCTTTAAACTGCTGCCCTCTATCGGCAATTTGTGGAGGAAATAATCAAAATTTAAATAAACATCACAAAAAAAACGAAAAAGTATTGAATAATCACAAAATTAATGGTCTAAAATCGCAATTGATTGCCAAAGAACATTGAAGTGAGGAGCTTTAAGTCTCTAGTATTGTTTAAATTACTTTCAGGAATCTCTGCGATATTTTCGCAGCGGTTGCAAAGCCTAATCGTGAGCGTGGCGAATGTGCGGATTTTCACCGCGTCTCGATCACTCACCGCATGATGTTGGACCAGGGCAGTGAGCCTCTGGCGGCGTCCACGGTGTGGATGGCGTTCACCAGAAGATAGCAATTACTCTCCACATATTCCACGAACACGAGCAAGAGCTTGAGCGCCGTCTTCACCACTAATCTATATTTTGAGGCGATCAGCGAGTACAACCATTGAACTGTTGGTCCATTTTTCATCACCCCATTCATGCCGTCCACGTAGAGCATCACCTTTTAATTGGACAGGAAGCATTGCCCAGCATTAATGCCGTCACTCCATCACAGATCCGCCAATCAGTCCGCTCGAGAGAAAGGAGAAGAGATGCCCCAAAACAAACAGATCAATTTGGTCTGCGCGCATTTCTCAGTAAATTAATTTCTTCTCCTTTCTCTCTGGCTGAAGGCCAAAAAACACTCAAAAGTACCACGAAAGGTTGCATTGTACAAATTCTGGGTGACAAATTACGGGCGAGAGTCTCGAGAGTCTCTCAATTATGCGGCGCAAAGAGGAGTGATTGTTACCTGTCCCAGCGCTCTCAGTATGTAGTTTTGGTAGTTCTGATCCGCTCCGCTGCCCACGCGCACGAGGCAATTGAGTCCGCCGAGCGCCACGAAGCCATGCACGAGATCCTTGTCCTCCTGGAAGATCTGCTTCAGCGAGAACAGCGCCCGGCGCAACTCGCGGCCCTCCGATGACAGGAGTTTCTCTGCAAAACACAATGAAATGCGATGAAATGGCACTTTTTTTTTCTTACAAATCCAATCAATCTCGACCGACCAAAGATCTCGCGGTCTTTTTTAGAGCAACCCAGAGAGTCACATTATGAGGCCATTTGGCTCTAATCACCGTCATTAGAGAGTCCACGATTGGCGCTCTGGGCGCGAGATTTCCCATCTCTTCTCCCCAATATTCCCAATTGGATGGAACATTGAAACCGATCGCCAATTGCGTATACTGATGGTTGAGACAAGGCAAAGAGGCACTCAGAATTGCCCGCGAAATGCTTCTTGATGATCACAACGTGGAATCTCACAAACCGTGATCGCGAGAGGCGAATAAGTGCATGAATTTGCAAGAACATCGCAACATATTGAGTATCAGAAAATCACATTTATTCACCTCCTTCTTGCAATTGAGAAAATTTCTATTGCAACCAATTTAAATTAACGGATGATATTGAAGTGTTTCATGTTAGAATTCTTTTGTGGCAAAAGTTGATTTTCCATGGGTGAAAAATTGTATATATATACGCGAAGATGGCTATATAGTGAAGAATGGGCACAGATAATGAGCATTTCTGCTGCGGAAGATAACATTTTCAATGAAGAATCACAAATTCAATGGGGAAGAGAATCTCAATTGCCGTCCAGGCAATTTTCTCTCTTTCTCTCTCGCTCTTGAGTTTCACAATCAATGGACGCGCGCGCGCGGCACTTCCTTATCAATTGCGGGGGTTTTTCTTCTCTCCAATTTGTTCCCCTTTTTTATCCAAAACCATCCCACACTCTTCCATTTGCCCATGATCCCGGATTTAACGCGCGCGTACGACGTTTTCCGGATCGAATTCGCTCACGGATTTAATTGCTATTTATGGGCGAGACGTCCACAATTGCAGAAACACACGCGCGCGCGCGCGCGGTGCGGAGAAAGATGGAAAATTCTCATCCACGAAATCGTGATCGTGATCTGTGTAGCATAATAAAAATTCTTCTATCATGTTTCCAATGTTGGCCATTCTAGGGCGAAAAATCCACACCGCGCGGCGGCGAAGACACTCTGAATGTTCAATTGAGAGCCTCGCGCGAGGCTCTCTTATTTTGCAATTGACGAGAAGAATGACACGATGTGGAAATTTAATTAAATCTCAAGAGAGCTTTCCATCCACCAACAATTGATCAATTCAAATTGATTTGCAATACCCGAAGAACGTGCTCTTGTATAGTTGATTTTTGTGACCACCTTCAGGGGATCTTCGTGCGAAGCGAAATGGTTCACTTTGGCGACTGTGAAACTCTCTATTTTCTCCGCAAATTATTACTTTGATCTTCATGGGCACTCTCTATATAGCCTCTGAAGGCCTTCGTATTCTGGCTAGCCAAATTTCTGTGGAGTTCTCAAGATGTGTGTCCTTGCTGGATATCAAAAATCCAAGATAACGCAGAGACAAGGGGAAGATATTATGGTCGGAAGTCTTGTACAGCCTTTTGTGGAAGTGTTAAGAACCAGAAGTGGTAAAATATTCCGAATATCTGCACTGCCAAAGCTTCTATTTCAACAAATTGAGACACTTCATTATTCATTTTGCTTAGACAAAGCGATTTTATTGTTTTTTTAGGTTATGTGATTGATTTAAGACAGATTTCAGTAATAAAATAAGCCTCAAAATTATCAACTTCATGCTTAGTCTGAGAATATTTCTTTTTTTCTTGGCAGAGTTGAGCATTTGATCTCAAAATAAATTCATATTTATTAAGAAAAAGCTCAAAAGTCAATCATAACCTAAAAAATATCGTTTTAATCTAAAAACAATGTCTATTTTCTTAGTTATTTCCGGGGTTTGAGCAATAAAAAGGGAAATTTAACCTAATTATCTTGTATAATCATTGAGATATATTCCATATTTACTCATCTTCAAGTCTGAAATAGTTCAAATCAGTCCAAGAAGGGTTTTAAACCAATTTTTTTAATGCATTGTGTGACGACAAAACTTAGATTTTATTGTGATAAATCTAGAAATTACTGTGAGAAACAGTTGAATGAGTCTGAAAAGCGATGGAAAATGCCTTAAAAGGCGTTCAGAAGTGTCTGAAGTGTTCAAGATTTGAGGCATATTATCTTCCCCTTGTTCAGAGACAAGAAACATCGAATGTTTCGCACTGGAATTTGAGACGTATGAAATAAGAAAACCAAGTATGATTGTTTTCGGGATCAATTGCTGAAAATCCCCAAAAGCTCTTTAGCCCCGCATGGTGAACTCCAGAATTAATTCCATTGTAACTCTCGCGGGCGTCAACTCTAACCTCTCCTCACCTTGTAACTGTTCTCCCCGTTTGCTCGGACTAATTTATTAACAATGTTTGATTCTCCCGCCAATAGACAAAAAGGCTTATTTATTGTTTTGCGCGGCGTGGAGAAAATTACCGGTTTCAAAATGCCTTCGCTAATGGTAATCAAACAAGAAATCAAACATCATCATTGTCGAGTATTGCATCCCGAAACATTTACACGCGGCCGATGCCTCGAGGGCTCCACAATATGCATATTGAGTGAATGACTTCTCCAGCTGATGGGCCGGATCTTAGCCAAGGAATTCCAGGGGCTTCTGATCGATGCCAGAGAGTCACGCTCAGCGGCACGACTTCGACCGATATTTCGCGTTGTGCGCGATCGCGGGCACAGGAAATCCTCGGCCATCGTGTCTTTGTTTGCGCGCCAATTTCCACCCATCAGACAAACACCGTGAAAATTGGCGGGAAAATTGCCCATCTGTCGATTCATTCATCAGCCGCGAAATGCCACGAGATTGTAAATCTCAACGACAATTTAGCGAGTCGCCGAGTGCGCCTTCTTCCCCGCCACAGAAGTGCACCTTCTTCTCCGTCTCTCTCCAGAGGAAGATATAAATCAGGAGGTCGACACAGTGTGTCTCACTTCGAGGCGCTCTCCGGAGGAAGTTGAGCATCTTTAGCGAGCAAATCATATGCATAAATGGTGAATTTGTGGAGACATGTTTCATCTGCAGCATGGAAGAAAAAAAGAACGAATCCAGCACTACAACATTTGCTGAGCTTCTGGGCTTTGCACTCTTCGGGTTCGCACTCTGTCCATATTTTCCATGTTTCTCCGAAACTGCTGCGCAAAAAGCCTTTTGCTAACGAACTGTACAACTATGTTTGAACTATTTGTCATTCATTGTCGTCTTGTTTGTACTGTCCGTCTATTTGATCAGCGCGATGAGGTCAAATGAATAAATGACAGTGTGCACACAAAACGGCCAATTAATTCACTTTCACCCACCCTGCATTTTCACCCGAAAAACGAAAGACTTGCGCGCGGTGAGAGATTTGGCACAAATCGTGACGGTAATTTTGAGTGTGTGTCTCTGTCGCTAATTAAAGTGACTAATTAAATGAACAAACATCGAGCGTGGAGAAAGGCAGTCGAGTTCTGACCAGACCAATCGATTCGTCACAAGAACAAGGCAATGATCGCGGCAAATGGAACGGGGCACGATGGCCGGACTTTTTGCACACCGCAAACGTAGAACTTTCAAGAAGACTAGAGAACCGCGAGCCGGAAATACGCGATCGTCATTCTAGTCGACACATAAAAATGATAATTAAGGTAGCAATTAGTGATCGACCGTTTGCTGAGAGGCTGACGGGTCTCTTCATTGGCCTTCCGAGCATGTCCCAGGGATGGCATGACGTGCGACTGTCCCGGCAGATCATCTTTTTGCCCAATGCGGGCGCCAACACTCAGAAAAACCCGCGCACCCGAGACTCAATGCTCCACAAATGCTAGAAATCTATGCTCATGATTGAGTGCATCCTGCGATACAAAATGATCTAATGGGCGGAGCATAGAAAGAGGCGGGGCTACCGAATATCTTGCCAAATAAACACCATTACACAATTTATTAAAATCTCTGCATTTGAAATCTTTAAACTGTTCTGTTAGTAGATTTATAATACTTTGATTTGAAAGCGATGAAATGACAATTTTGCAGCGTTTTAACCTCAATATTAATGATGGCACGTTTAAAAAATGCCATCACTAAACAAGATTTAGCAATTTGTGAATTCTTTCTGATTAAAAAATCAGTGTAAATTAGAAACTTCCGCCAATACATTAATGAATAGACAGTTTCCCGTGTCGTCATTGAGTGCTTTCATTAAAAGAACATTCGCAAAAAATGCAAATTGAAATTCATTTATAATTTCATCGACTAAATTAGCAGTCCAAATTAAGTCATTAGCAAACTAATTAACTCATCTATAGAATACAGAATAATCGAATTTCCTTGAGTAATTTTTCACCAATTGACTGTCTTAAAAGCATCTCTTGGTCTAGAAGAGGTATTGAGTTACACCCCTGAGAAGAGCAATCATACTGAGTCTTAAGTGCGAACAATGCGTCTTGAGGGGAAACAATGAAGACGATTTCCCTGCCAAGTGATTGATATTTGCATTTTGAGGCACTGAATGAAGTCTCTTTTTTCATCTTTATCGATGGCAACAATGAAGATGCCACTGAATGCAAAGAGAAGTTGAAGTATCTTGAGAGTCAAATGCTGCCCATTTGCCCGGATTGACGTCTCTCTCACTCACTCACTCTCCAGCCACACGATAAATTATCTCCCCATTTAATGCATAATGAGAGTTTCTCATTGGGAAAGTTTCCTCAACTGTCTGTGTGTGAGTGTGTGTTTTTTAGCCTCCCATTTAATTACACATCTCATATGTATGCTGGATACAGTAATTGTTTAAATGTGGAGTAATCACATGCAATAATTGTGAAAAATAAACACTCGCGCGAGAGTCACCTTTTGTATTTGGCCCCGAGGAGAAAGACGCTTTTGATAGAGAGCACACGAGAAATTGCTAATTTCCTCATAGGCCATTTTTTTTGTGTGGCGAGAGAGTGTTTCCATGCATTTCACTTTTGCAAAGTGATTTTCACAGGCCATTTTGCACACTTTGACGGGCCTTCGACGCTTCTCTTCCACATCAAACATTGCGGAAGACAAAGAAGAGTGTCAACAAAGGCTGTTGAATTGTTTGAATTACAACCCAGAGTTGCCTATCTTGGCGGTGGACTTTATGAAAGATACACGAATGTGCGATAAGACCACTTAATAGATGAAAAATTACACATGGCAGAAGTGAGAGATAATTATACTGATGAAATGCCTTAATTTCGGAGATATGATGACATTATTATACACCATTTCTTTCCGTTAGAAACAGTCTCTAAACCTCAGAAACTTTCCTCAAAATATTAATCTCTTTCCATTTGAAATAAATTGCATTGAGAGACTTTCATCCGCGCAATTCAAGAATCGCGAGCGTCTATCAGAAGAAAAGAGACTTAATATGACCGCATAAAGCCATCTCTGTGCCAATTAGTGAGAGATTTTAGAAAGGGAAATGCGCCTTGAGGCCCACTTTTGACCCACTGATATTTGTGGCGGAGCGAAAAGGCACACGAGAGATCAATTAGAAGTGGGTCCAAAAGGGGGAGTATATATATAATCAGATCTCTGCTGCTGCCGTTGGACACGCTTTCCAAGCGCGGGCATCCCAAGTGCGAATCCCACGCTGCGTCTGTCTCGGTATCGGCGGTCCATCGACAGGAATGATTCCGAGAGTCTGAGGAACAGAGAGAAGCCATTAACCCGTCGCGCTGACACTGATTGCCTTCGACGGCTATTTAGAATTGAAGAGTGGGTTCGCGCGAACAGCACGGACCACACGAGGATCGAGGGCCAAATATTGGAAACGCGACTTCTCCATACTCAGAGAAAAGTGTCTGTGTGCCCTTCGACTGCAAACGGAGTAAGATGGGTGGCAATGCGTGAAGAATTGTGCTGAAGTGCTCAAACAGTGAGTCACCAAGGGGAGATAATATGCCTCAAATCTGTACACCACTTCCTGACACTTCTGAACGCCTTTTGAGACATTTTCCATCGCTTTTTATACACTCAATTCTGACTTATCGCAATATAATCAGTGTTTTGCCATCAGAAAATGGTTTAACAAAATTCTGACCAAATTGTGAGGTTATTAATTAGACTTAAAAATCCTTCTTACACTAATTTTGATCTATTCCAAACTAGATAATGTTTCTACTAGATAATGAAGTTGAATTTACCACTTTAAAGCAAAAACGACGGAAATAACTAAACAGAGAAACATTCTTCTAGACCAAAATGACATTTTTGAGGTTATGATTGACTTTAAAGCTTTTTCTTCATCAATGTGAAGTTTTTTCGATCAAAAATTAGTCAAAAATACTCAAATCTATGAAGAAAAAGTAAAATATTTGCAGCTTAAACACAAATTTGATGATTTATATGGTTATTTAATGACCAAAATCTGTCTTAAATCAATCACAAAACCTACAAAAATTGCTTCAATTTGTTAAAAAAAAATTTTTATGACAAACTATTGATAAACTACAGGATTTTAGCTCTGTCCAATACTGACTTTGCAATACTTTAATGCGCAAAGCGACGATTTGCTGTGCCAGCGGAAGATACAGCGAAGGGTTAAGTGGGGTCATGAGCGTGAAAAAAGGCATCCCGTGAGTGACACAGCATTGGGCAGTGTTGCAAATTGTCAAGATTTAATACACACCATCATCAGTGTCTTCTAACGAGTGTGAATTGAGAGATAATTAAGGTACAATGACATGAAGAAATAATCTCGACATTGAGACTCCTTCCAACCACACATTTCCCACCTTTCTTCTCTCTCGCCTGTCATTCTCCGACGACGCCAGAGAGGTTTTTCCCACCGCCGGAAAGAGAGCCCAAAGAGATTTAGAGGCTCTCCTGCAACAATTGCATAATATATCTCGACGGGAAGTTGCAACTGACGGCTTTTGACAAGGCGCCTTTCTTGCCTTGCACTTGAACAATCGCTCGCGAAGTGAAAGTGACCCCAACCTGTGCAAATATCTATGTGCTTAATCATTGGAGACAAAACTTACCAATGATCGCGTGGACGCGAACGCTGAGCTGCGTGCGAACGACCAGGGAATTCTTGCGGCTGCAAAATGTTATGAAAATGTGTAAGAAAAGCGGCGGTGAGTTTGAGGACGCGCAGGACTGGTGGTCCGCAATTACCCTGATTGAAGGCCATCGATGTCTTCAGACTGCTCCGCCAGCGAAGACTCCAGATCCAGATAGGCTCCGTAGTCGCCGTCTTTGTACACCTGAAGGGCTGCATCGTCCAGCTGCAAAGAGAAGGAACCGTGAGAGCCGCTCATTCACGCGAAATCGCCAAGAGGGGGATTTTGGAGGGCGCGCAAGTGCCATTACGCTCAAGACATACTTTGAAGATCTCATCTCTCATTTGCATTACTGCTCAACCCCTTTTGGCACTCTTCTCTTGTTTTTGCCTCTTTTGTATCTTTTTCTCACTCTCTCAGAGAACTCAAAAGCCTTCCCTTTCCCGAAATGCACCGGGAAAATGACTTGAGTTTCTTCGGCAAGAAGTGCGCGACGCTCTTGAGAAGAAATTCTCACGTATGCAAAACACTCCTCTCGATCTTCCCATTCTTCGGTCACACCAAGAGCATCCATCGCGCTGTGGTTCTCTGTCTTTGTTTGATGGCCAAAGGGGAGTTGGAACCGTGGGTGGAATAATGACTTCCCGCGGGAATGGAGTCGCGCGCGCGCATCCCGGAAGACGGGGATTTGTGCCATCTTCTGCTAGGGCTTCTCATCTGGTCCATGATCGCGCCCAGAGTGCCTATTTTTAGCCGCTCCGCCGAGCATGAAACACCTAAACGATTGAATCTTTGCACTAGGTCGTGTGAACATAACTTAAAAATCGCGCAGCGCCCAAAAAAAAAGACAGAAGAAAGAAGCAAATAAGCGTCAGAGAGTAAATTATGAGAACATCAATATTGTTGTTCTATGAGAAATTTATTTTCTCTCTTTTTCCAACCATCACTCTTCACTGGCTTTTTTTTCCACCTCATTCGCGCGCTGGATCTTTTTAATCAACCTCACTTCTGAGTCCGAATGGAAAGAAAAAGTGTTAATTGCATTCTTTTGCTGCAAAATTACCGGTGAATCAGAGATGGATTATTTGTGAAATGTGGTCTAATATTCCGCTTTATTGCGTGAAAAACTGTTCCATTTCTCAAAAATACTTCTTTGTGACTTCACTGGTGTGTCGATTGTGTCGATCTTTAAAAATAAAAACCTGCGGAGAGACATTTGGATGAACACCAAAACGATCAGCACAGATTTCCGATGAAGACTCAAAGCCACTCTGTTAAAAATCTAACCGCACAAGAACCTCAAAATACCATTAAACTCCTCATTCTTATTTTTTTTTTCCTCTTCTTAACGCACTCTCGTCGAGCATTTAATATCCCACCCAATGATTGGATTGCGAAGATCTCTAAATTTTAACGAGTGATTTGGCATCTAGAAAATCACAGCCTAGGGCCCTTATCAAGACCTTGCCATCTCTCTCTCTCTCTGTGCATGCGAGAAATTTAATTGCCCGTCTGACGATCGTCAACTGCGGCAAAGAGTGACACGGCGTGACTTTCGCAGAGTCGCCGTGAATTTTTATCGCGCTCGCTGGCAAAAGAGCTTCAAAACTCCACGCATTGATTTACGGTAGACAGTGTAATTGGATTAATTTAATCAGCTGCAGCCACGTACAAATTTATTATCTCTGGCGGTGCATTGTGAAAAGCCTCAGCATCGCAAATGACTCTCTCGTGTGTGATGCAGGTTTTCTTCTTCGCCTTTTTGCCCCCTTTGTGGAATTTGATGAACTTGTACGGCCGTCGAGGTGTTGTGAAGTTTATTATTGTTTTTCACTTGACTGCCGTTGAATTTTATTCACCCAATCGCGGATGGTGAAATATACATCAACTTTTATGTCTTTCGCAGGCGGCATGCGAAATACTGGCCAATTGTCTCAATCCCGCGTCATTGTCATGCTTCGAGAGGATCAAAGTTGAGCAGTGGCTTAACTTATTCATTAAAAAACAGTGAGCTCAACGCGTTGAACTCACTTTTTTTAGGGATATGCGAGAGGTTTCAGACGAGCTCAAGATCATTGTGATCGGACAAGAAGAACCAAAGTTTTAGGACTTACAAAATCAAAAACGTTTGAACTTTGACCTTCCATATCTCTACTTCTACAATTTCAATCCTCAGAAGTAACGATTCGCTGGAAAGGTCATGATCTTAGCTATAACCTACTGAAATTTTAAGAAAATTCATCGTCTTGTTCTCGAGTTATACAACATTAATTTTTTGAAAATGTTTTTTTGAGATTTTAGCGCTCCTAGCGACGGTTGTATCAAGTTATGATGTTTGGGTGGAAGATGGCATTTTAGGAGACCTTTCCAATGAACCTACAATTATTCAAAATTAATGATTAGGAGCCGAGTTGAAGCAATTTTAATTTTCAAATTTTATTTTCTTATATCTAAGTTTTGCAAGGACCTAGGTCCTTAAGTAATGGTTCGATGGAAAGATCTCGAGGCCAGCTATAATATACTTATGCCACAATTTTGCTTAAAGTCTTAACGCTCAATCTTGCACACTATAACTTTGTGTCTACAAACGCTGAAGCACACAAAGCCTCATCGTGATTTCATTCTTTGCCTTTTCTTGAAAACTGAGAATTTGCCCATCCTTGGCTGAGAAATCAAATTCAAAGCTGCCCGAGATGCACTGATCCATATTTCCATTTGCCCATGTTGTACTGAAAATTCAGCTGCATTTCCTCAACGAGGCGGAGGTGGGCTGAAAAAAGGGCATCGAGAGTGTGGTTTGGTTGGCTTTCTTGCCTCTCGTTTTTCCACATGATCGCATGCAACAATTGCCTGAATATTTCTCCTCTTATTCCAACCGATTAATATCTTGAAGGTTGAGCAGACATTCTTAAACTTGTTCTCCAAACTCCCCGCCATACAGACTCTTTTTCTCTCTCTCGCACTCTCTCGTAATTGAGCCTTTTTATCATTCTCCCCAAGCAACACTGTACTTAGCCTGAGCCGCCGCGGCTAAAGTGCGGATTTTCACGGGGCGCGAAAATCAATCCCTTCGCGTGAGCGAATTAAATAAATACAGCATGTTCTTAAATGTGGGGAAACACTCACCCTCTGTGGAGCCTCGAGAATCCTCAAAATAGCCCCCAATTGCGTGGCCAACGGCGCCGTGGAGATGAAATTGTACGTCGGCGCTCGTGAGGGAATTGGAAACAGGCTGAGACTGTTGAAGGGGTCCGAATCGAGGAGGTACTGAATTCGAAGTGTTATCACTTCGTCGGGATCCATTTTGATCAGCATTTTCTCAAACACTTTATCACACAGACTTTGACATCACAGTCCCTAAAGAGAGTTCACGGAGCGCCTCCTGGGAATTCACTGGAGCGTCTGAATTGCAATCATCCACCATCATCAGCGGCTCCAGTCGACCAAGACGGCGACAAAGAGAGCCCGCGATGGGTGGATTTTGAGGAAAATAACCGAGATTATATTCACTCTTTCTTGTGACATCAGAGAGAGATCACTTTTCCGTCTCAGAGAGCGCAATAACGCAAGCGAACGTGAGAGCCGAAACGAAAGGGAAGGTGCGAACCCCCGAAGTCCTTGCATTGGGTGGTCTTCGATATTCCTCTCGCCCTGGGGCTCTTTTATGGTGTGTCATTTTTATTTATTTTCCGGCAATATTATCACTTTATCCAGTCACAAACAACAATCAGTCGCAGTGACTCTTCAGACTCTCTTTCAAAACAGCCAAATTCCCCACATATATTCGGACAATGGAATGTTTTCAGGTATTAATTCAGGTAGCTTCTCGGGAATTATGTAAATGGCCAGAGTGAAAGGGAAAGACCGGTGAAATGTTCCGTGAAATTCTAGACTCTGGCATCATTTTTTCCATCTCGTCACCATGGGCGATCGTGACCCGATCGCAAACAATAAATTGGATGGCGATTTATGAGTTTTTGGGGCTTTGATCAATAAAAAAGACATTTCAATAAATAATTTTTTACAGCTCAAGCACAAGAGTGCGCCCATTGGACAAATTACTTGACGATTGATATTTAAAAGAAGGAAAGAAAAAAAAATCTGGTGGTGCTTTTAAACTATTTTATTGGGCAGCACTTAAAGGGGATCTCCTAGCAATTTGCTGAAGATCAAATTTATTCACAGAGAGCGCCATGATGAACGTGACAGTGATTTTGCTCGTCTAAAGTGAAATTTATTGTTTGTCTGAAATGGGTATAAATTGGATAAATGACGCTGTGAAGCCTCGCACGACCGTCACAAAATCTAATTAGCGTGCAAGTGAAAGAAATGGCCTTTTTTCTCAGCATCGCGCGCGCTCTCGAAGATCAAGATGTATCTTCTGATTGATTTTCGATGTTCTCATTTTTTTGCCCGCCCCACGAGAATATCTTCTCTCGCTCTGCAATTCACATGGAAAACCCCACGGACTGTAAATTTCGGGTCAATGATAAAAGCAGCCAAATGTTCCCGATTTCTTATCGATTGACGACATTCACTTAACGCTCATTGGTGTTTATGTATTTTTTGCTTAAATACCGCGCGTGATTATTCAATTTGAAATTCGCATTTTATTTCCCTGCATGATTTAATAGATGCCTTATTAAATTCACGCTTTTTTTCTCCTACTAAAAAGGCATTACCCAATATTAAATGTTGCAATAGGCAATTTTCCTCGAGGAAAATTCGTGGGAAATGTAGGTTAATAATCAGCACCCAAAACTTGAAGCCTCGCATCGCGCCATGAAATTGCAACCCTTGACTTCATTTCTTGTCATTCGTCTCTTCGCATCTTTCAGGTTTTGGAAACATTGTCTTTTGCGCGCGATCGAGAGATGAATTAGTGGTTGGAATGTTGTTCGATGAGGTGATTTTTTGCCATCTTTATAGCTCACTCACTGTCTTCGTCAATTGGCAAGATGTGCTCATTTGCTAGAGGGTTTAGAAAAACCCAACTAACAGGCCAGTTTGAGAAAGATTGCGTATCTTTTTCTGTGCAAAGTGAATAATAATCCTTGAAAATTGGATATTTTTCAGTGTTTAAAAAGTGTTCTGAACCGAGAAAATTTCTACACAGCTCAAAAAGTTTTCCTTGACTTCAACTAGGCAAACTCTTAACGTCTCTTAATGCTCATTAAGTCAATTACAATCCACTCTCAAATCGTCACTTTTGACTAATTGAGTATAATCTTCACGGCAAACAACGGAGGAAATGTACTTTTAGCAATTAAATCACCAAAATGTACACACAAGACCACGTCAAACGATATCGATGAGCTGATAAAATTCCTCTCTACAGCACGCAATGACTTCAGGCTATAATGAGTAGCCGTTCCGGAGGCAGGAAACTATCAAAATTGCAGCATTATTCACACAAAAATTTCCCATGAAAAATAAACAGCAACTGATCTGATATGATTGTTATTACTTTGACTTTAATTAATTGCTCAGTAGAATTTCCGCTTTTACGAGGCTTCTGCCGCTCTTTCGCCTAGATTTCCAAGTCATAGGAGATGTTGAGGGTCTGGTGCGAACCCGAGACAGGCGAAAAAGAGTCCCATTGAATGATTTGCACCGTGCTAAAGACCGGGTGAAAGACGCCGAAGGTACAAAACTGAAGAAGAAATCCCATAAATTATGCCCGAGACTTGCTCTTCCTCTGGGATCTCTCTTGACCACTCTCTGCTTTATTTCCTCTCTTTTTTTTTACTCCTTATCGTCTTCTTTCACCGAAAAAATTGCAACACAACAATCTTCCACACACATAAAAACGAATTTCCACCTTGACTTGCGCGCAGCTCAGACGACATAAAATCATCATCTGAATAATGGTTTAAAATTATATTTCTTTTCGTGGAATTAGTGCATTGTTTCCCACATTTTTTCCACCGTCACCAGACCGTCTTCTCTATCTGCAATTCACGTTTTTACGGGTGAGAGACGAGAGCGAGGCAAAAGGCACACGAATAATGCTCGTCTCCTTCTCAACAAAATGCATTCCAACAGGCCACAGAACGCGTTGAATTCGTGGAAAGAGTAGTGCCCAATGCCTCTGTTGTCACAATCATCATTTTCGAGCATTTCGTTGAGCCCTCACACGGAACATTATTGCCCTCTCTCATATCATATCATATCTATTCCCCATTGCGCATCACACATTTTTCCTTTTTTCTTTCCACTCTGTGTGCCTCTAAATGCCTCCCAAAAACTCACTGCTTTTATTGTCCCATTGCAAGGGAAAATTATACTCTTTAAACAACCACTATAGGATAGATTAAATGTCTTTAAGGCCTCCCTCACACGCACTCAGTTTTCACTTTTGCCTTGCTTCAGTGCAGCGGCCGAGTTCAGCGACTGTTCGCGAGTATGAACCGTGAGCAACTGAAGTGCTTTGCTTCTTGCCATCCACTTTGCCGATCGGCCAGTTTAGGAAGTCTCCAAGTGCCGCACTGACTCCCCGAAACCACTACAACTGTGCAGAGTTGCTCAAAGAGCGGCCAAGAACCCGAAGGGTTGCCAATATCACAGTCAAATGTTCTTTGCACAGGCACAAGGAATTGTGCAAAGGTGTAAACTTATTAGTAAATAGGTGCATTTTCTCAGCTGACGAAGCCTCAATACGACTAAAATACATTCTCTAAAGCGTTGTACAACAGCTTAGAAATGACAAACCTCCGATTGAGAATTCTGCGAGTGTGTGTTCGCTGTTGGTTTGACTTAAAAAGTGTGTAAATAGCACAGGTAAACGTGAGCGAGTGAGACGGATGCAAGAACCACAGCTTGAAGCCTCTCGCCAATTTATCTTCTCATCTTTCGTGAAAAATTTCTCTCAAGATCGCGCGCCCGAATATTGGGTCTGAAAATTAATTTGCGCAAATCCCTGACAATGTGGATGGTCAATTAGTGAGGGTCGCGACGCTCTCCAGACAATCTCTCAGACACACGCGAAGTTGGGAGTTGAAAGAAAGTCAACCAGCGCGCGAATGTCTTTGGCGAGAAACCACCGCCAAGATGAGAAGTGCATTTATTTAAATGGCAGAGGTAAAAGGAAGACTTTGGCCTCAGCATGCAAGAACTGGAGCTCGTTCTCTCCGCGCTCAGGCGAGCAAACACACACACGCTGTGCAGCTGTCGAATACGCCTTTGATAAGGTCAAGAGTTGATTTGGAGGTCCGCACAGAGCCAATTGTCAAAGGAGAACAAAAAGAAAAGAGCGTGAGTGTGTGTTTGGCTCCGGAAAGCGGGAGAACCCGTGATGTTCTTTGGCCAAGCGCACAGATGTTTCACGAATGGAAGGAAGAAGACAATAAAAAATAGACCATGGATTAAGCTTTTGATCATGTTTCACACGAAGGAGGATGATAAAATAAATTTCTCGAAATAAATCATCGTCCAACTTTCAAAATTTCAACTCTCGCACTAAGCATGAGAATACAAACACCTCTTCAGCACACTTCTGGCGTCCGCATTGCCGGATTGAGTGTTTTTTCAGCTTGGGATTTTGTTTATAATAGAGATGATTAAGAAAAATAAAGGATTGTTAAAGTCAAAAACACATTTTGAGGACTCATTTCCTCAACAACAACAACAAAGGTAGAATTTTAGGTCGGGTAAAAAATCCTAATCACAAACCATTTCGAATTCACTCTGCGATAGCAAAAGTGAGAGTGCCATAAAACACCTTATCGATGAACTCATTTTCTACAAAATTCTGTAAAAAATTTCCGCAACAATTCAATGAGCAATTATATCGACTTTGACCCTGTGTACACAAATTGCCACTAAAACACTCGCAAGAACATCACTTTCATCAATAATTGCTGGGCCTTTTTTTTCCTTTCATTGACCCACTTAAGGAGTTCTCACTTCGCCCATTCTCAACTCTGCAGGACTGCAAATTGCAACACCACAAGTGGATGGAAAAATCAATAGAGAAGACGTGTTTAGTTAGCGAATGCAGACGCTGACCAGAGAGTTCACTCAGAAAGCGTTCTAAAAATCCACTTTGTGTTGAAGGCACTCTTACTGCGGATCCGCGAAAGGCATCAAATCCCCATCGCGTTAGATGGATTTTATTAATAATTCTCTTTAGTCGCGTCGCGTCACGGAGATTATGAGGTGAGAATGCCTTCCATGAGCTGATAATGAAAGAGCATTCGTGGCCAATGTAAACAGGTGTGTTGGGCAAGAGAGAGAGAGAGAGTGTGGCGATCGGGAGAAGACGTGATGAGATCCATCAGCTTATAAATAGACGTCGGATTCCACTCCAAATTCTCTGGATGGCACAGAAACAACAACACCGAGGGGCGGCGGGGGAGGAGGGACTTTAAATTTAAACATGTTACTCATCAGTCGAATGGGTTTTTTTTTTGGTTGAGGGCCAATAAATGGTGCAAATGCACGCGACGACCCACATTTTCCTCTTCTAAACACCTCTTCAATTTCTGCCGCAGTCGCGCTTTGAAACGCGGGGCGACTGACTTAAACCATAGCACAGCGGATTCAACCCTATCCTGAAGGAAATTCTCACCACACATGAATATTTAATGACACGATTATTGCATAAAAGAGTTTGAATTCAAGCACACACTTTCAAACTTCAAGAACTCTCTTATAATATGTGAAGACGTAGCGATTAAATAAAAGGGATAATGTAGTAATCTTGCATCTAAAGCGGATAGCTTCTCGTCCACGCCCATGAATTCATCTATCACAAAATGTTTGTGATATTACGCAAATCACAACTGACAAAATACACAATCTCTATCGCGATGTTTCTTCATTAAGCATCAATTTGTGACGTGAAATGCTTTCAAGATCATCTTATCTTTGAAAACTCATGTAAACATTTTGGCGAATATAAATAAACTGATTAAGTGATTCACCTGACTTCTCACTTTCTCTGAATCACACAGTGTTTGTAACTATTAATTTGCATGAATCTCTATGTTTGTTTTGCCAATAAACCATAAAAAAAAAGATTTGCACTTTCGCGCCAAAATACCGCATGAACAACGAAGGGTTAAGGGTCGATGACTCGCGGGAGGCAATTGATTGGCAAGGTTAGTTGTGGGAGTTTTTGGGGCGCACATGCAAAACTCACCAAGTGATTCTGGCCACCCGGACTCCAGCTGTTCTCCCTGTGCAGAAAAGATGGAAAAATGTGTTTTATTGGCAACATTGTGGCGCCATCTCACGGAGGCGGAATACCTTGCTTCGCCGTTGCGCTGAATCACGGGCATTTGAGCCGTGCTGTCGTGTATCCGCACTTGAGACGGCGAAATCTCCTCAAAGACGTCTTTAGCGGAGAAACGCTCCGACATCATAATTGGACTGGCGCCAAGAAGTTCATCGATGTTTGTGTGGCGCGAGATGAAGAGACTTCGCGGTGATTTTCTCGTCTTCTGCGGCACATTATCATAGGGAGAATGATTCCTTGTGGCTTCCAAGCCCTCAGGACTCGCCCTATCGCCAAGAGGATGATCGGCTTTCGCCACTTCCTCGTCTTCTGACGACTCTTGTCGCTTCGGTAGAGCCTTCTTAGGCTTCGGCTTTGGCGATTCCGGCGGTCCCAACCACCAAGCTCGCTCACCAGACTCAATGTGCCTTATCTTGTACTTGGGCGTATCGGATTTCGCCTCTGAACTGCTCCTGTGCTGCATCCTGAGCTTATCCGCATCTGTGGAGTTCTCATTGAGCATCCACCAAGCCTTCTCACCCGATTCAATGTGCCTGATTTTGTACTGCACTTTCGGACTGTCGTCTCTCTTCTCCTGACCACTCTCACCCTCACTGGTGAGCCACCAAGCCCTCTCCCCTGAGTCAATGTGCCTCAACTTGAACTTCATCGCGTCACCAACACTCGCAACTTCTGGCTCCGGAGTCCCGTCGACCGACCAGTTAGGCTTCTCGGGCGACAACTGAGCTTTGCCATTCAGCAGTGACACGGGCCCGAGTGCACGAATCAAGAATGACTTCGCCTCCTCATTTTTAGACGACACGACATCCGCTGACTCACTCCTTGACGTTGGCCTAGAAGAGAAGAAGAAAAGTAGGGTGAGTGCGAATCTCTGCCAAGAATCTCAGTACTTTACTGACCTATCCAAAGACAATTCGTCCGCCGAAGTGCCCAAGAGAGAGCCTTTAGAGGACTCTCGCACATTTCTCGTCTCTCCAGGATCATTGCTTAGACTGCTGGAGGAGCTGCAACTGGGCGATCGCTCTAATCTGTCACCAGAATCCACAGGAGATGATGAAGATCGTGACTTTCTCGGTTGATCTGACGGTCCCATGTTAAGAGCGGATTTCCTAAAGTCCTTATTTGCCCACTTCAGACAACTCTGAGCCGCTTTAGTGGGAGATTCCGCCTTTCCAGGCACTGGAGGCGGAAGACTTTTGCTGCTCTCCGGTGATTTAGACTTTGAACTCTTCGCTGACGATGTCTTGGATTTTTCACTCGAGGGACTCTTCGAACTGCTGCTCTTCTTCACTTTCTTATCGCTCTCCTCGCTTTTCTCCTTAGTCGACGTACTCGCTGAACTCTTCGATGGCGACACAGAGTTGGAAGTTGAGTATCTACTCGATGATCCACTCGATGGACTGTATTTTGTGTCCAAATATGACGTCCAAGGCACTGATGAAGTCACTTTAGTCGCTGAAACTCTAACATTTCGTGTTGGATCATCAAGTCTGTCAGATTGGATTTCTTTATCAAGCATCAAAGGTCTCTTGAGTGGTCTTTCGATGGTTTTCTCTGTGGTTTTTGCCACTTCTCGTCGGGTTTTCAAGTAATTCCCACCACTAGACTGAGGATTGGGTGATGTAGCTCTAGTTATCATTGTCACCTGAACCATAACTACTTCTTCCTCTTTCTCTATCTTCTCGGGCTTTAGTTCACTCTCTATCTTTGTCGGGGGCGTCTTTTCCTTTGGCTTCCTGATGACTGTACACGCTCTGGCCTCACTGTGAGTCATGTAAGACAAGGCAGGTCCTGTAGAAGTCGGTGAGTATTTAGAATAAGTGGATGGACTCGATCCCTTGTTGTACAATCGACTGTATCCACTCGAAGTGGCACCAAATCGATCCTTCAACTGTTCAATGGGACTGGGATCCCGAGATCTTCGCAAAAGCGTCGGTGCTGGCCTATCCACAGGACTGGGATCTCTACTTCTCACCCTACTGATCGAGATTGATGGCGACACCGGACTGGGATCTCTTGAAGTTCTCCCATATTTCGGTGTTGTCTTCGCCACACTTGGACTAGGATCTCTCGATCGATCTCCAGCGGGCTTCAGAAACCGACTTACAGTCCCGATAGATGGACTGGGATCTCGTGATCGTTCTCTCGGCACTTTCAACGTTGATCCGTAGCGGGTATTGAAAGTTACCGGTGGTCCTTCGGTCTTCTTCTCGCTTTTCTGCACTGAAGAATACTTAGAAGATCCTTTTGCATCCGTCGTACTGGGATATCTACTGGTTTTAGAACTGTCTGCCAAATTGCTCGTGGAAGAATAGTTGCTCTTCAAGTTCCCTGTGGATCCGCCAGCATAACTTCTCGTCGATGAGAGATCCTTTGTAGATCCTCCAGCATAACTACGTGTAGCTGGAGAAAGATCCTTAGTAGATCCTCCAGCATAACTGCGTGTAGCTGGAGAAAGATCCTTAGTAGATCCTCCAGTGTAAGATCGCGAAGCTGGCGAAAGATCCTTTGTAGATCCTCCAGTGTAAGTGCGTGTTGCTGGAGAAAGATCTTTTGTCGATCCTCCAGCATAGGATCGCGAAGCTGGAGAAAGATCCTTAGACACTCCTCCATAAGTTCTAGTCGTTGTTGATGGGAGATCTTTCGATGTACCATATTTCGATGCTAGGCTAGAAGTTTTCTTTGGAGTCTCGGGTTCTTTTGCCACTTTTTCGGGCTCCTTGGCTTCTTTGGTTGTGTATCGGGAGTAAGATGATGTCACGGGCTCTTTCTTGGCAGGAACACGATAAGTTCCACCTGAATATGAAGGTCGATAAGTTGTTGGACTTGCCAGAGAGCCGAATTTCGGTGTTGCAGCTGATGATGAAGCTTTGGATTCACTTGAGACATCGTCGCGCGATGAAGTGAACTGAAAGAGTCCAGAAACAACAACAATTAGAGTGGAGAAGAAGAGAGAAATTGGCAAGAAACTTAATGAAAATGTGGAGTGATAAACCAGCCAATTGTGGTGATGGAAAATCTACAAATTTCTCGGTGGAGGTGAAGAATGGGTTCAACACAAAACGTGAAGGAATGTTAACACTCTGAAGGGTGGGGGGTGATTGGTGAACAAGCAGTTCTTACCCTGCTACCACCATACTTTGAGGAATAAGACGAGTAGTTGGATTTCCACGGGATCTGCAACACAGAGAGCTGGGAAAGTGACTTTTGGCAGACAAGAAAGTGGGTGAGAGCTTTTTTCTCTGTCTCTGCTTTTACTGCCTGCAATAACTTTCCTCATTAATTTTCACAATGTAAATTGCATGCGATCGTCGTGGCGCCCTTAAAATCATGTCGTGTCGCGCGAGTGCCAAAAATTCTTCAACCAAAGTTCATTCAACTCCACACAACGTGATCAACTTCCTCGCGGGAATTTCCCCCCAAAAATTCACACACTCAAAAGAAGGTACTTTTCCCGCCAAAAAGCGCCAAACTCTCTCTCCATGATGGCCTATAAATAGTGGGCAATTCCCAAAATGCAAGCTGCATGCATTCCTAATCCTCCAAAGTCATCACGGAGATTCATCTCTCTGCGCTTGTCCTATTTCTGGCACGGAATCTCTCTCTTTCTCCTCTCACCACAGGCAGAGGAGCGACAGCCGAAATGATGACACCAAAATGTTTACGGCCTGCCCGGGAGCCGCGCTTTAAGTGCACCGATGCAATAAATTCCAGTGGGAAGAGCCATTAAAATTAATCAGCAGCAAATCACTTGTTGCACTTTTTTCCTCTCCTCGTTTTGTGGGGTCTTTTGGGGGCGAAGAATTTAATGAATTTTAGCGCATCACACTGGATTGAATGTCCTAAGAGTTATTGTTGAACTAAAAATGACATTATTTTCTGAATGCCCGGAATTATTCTTGCTTCTCGGCGCGCCCAAAAATGCGTTCAATTCATTTTTCTTCACTGGTTTCCTAAGCTTAATTTAAACAGATTCTTAAATATTAAAAAATCATATTTGTAGTTTATATTAATGATTGATTTCCTTCGTGAAAACTTACTTTTATCCACTTGAATAAATCTAAAAAGACGCTTCTTTGCTATAAATTCACTCATTCTTAGCCTAAATGCTTCCTCATTGCATTTCTGCCTTTCATTTTCATCTATCCAGCAATAAATTACTTTTGATAAATTCGCAACGCGTAGTTTGTGCCAAAAATTCCTTGGCATCCGGGAAATAATTTCCAGACATTCTAATTACGAAACGCCGCACTGTTTCCGGACTGGAGTTGCACAACATCCTTATAGGATGAAATTTCAATTGATCATTTGCGATATTTCGACATATATTTTCTATTAACACACTTTTTCACATCAGAGCAACACCATTTGTCTTCGGGACTATAAATATTTATATTTAGAGCACGCATTTCATTCTGGGCGAGCGGCGAAATTGAGGAAGAAGACCTCAATTTGCCTCTTTTTGCCTCCATTATCATCATGTTTATCAGCTTTCACTTACATAATTTCTATATGTTGACATTTTATCTCAGACGTGGCAATTTTCTCGACACTCTTCCGCAATTCATGTGTGCTGAGGGTTGACAAAAATGCGACTCCACTCGATTCCGCTGAAGATGATGATGTACAAGTACACAGTGTAAATGTAGATCCACAACTTCACGTGAAGACTTCCTCGTGGCCACACAATTGGGCTGCCTAAATGCCGCCGGCGGACTGTGGCCAAGAAGCGCCGCAGGAAGTCCACCAGCACGTACACGAGGGACAAGATGATGATCAATCGTCGCAGGTGAATCAGCAGAATAGCCATAAATTCTACCACTCAAAAACCTCCCCTATAATCACACCTTCATGCAAAATCTATGTGTAAAAAGCCGAAAAATCACCCGCAAAACCGTGAAAAGTGTAATTTTAGAGCGCGGCTTTAGTGCGCTTATTTTGCGCATTCGAGATGAGAACAGAGACGAGACTATTGTGAGATCGTCGCGACGTCTTGAGACTCAAGCATCACTGAGCAATACAGTGACATGAGGGTCTATTTCTGTGTTCGCAACAGGAAAATTCACACCAACACACAGGCGGATTCAGAGGGAAAATTCACCAAGAGGCTCTGTCGACACATGCAAGATGCTGAAGAGAATTGTGAGGCAATTGTCGAAAGGAAACACTTGGCAAAAAGAAACACGAAACTCAACAATATTTCGGTGGAAAATTAACATGAAAAAAACACTCAGGGTGGCGGAGTTTTAAAGTTTCAGGGTGAAATTCACAAAAATAGATTAAACACACGATGGAAATTTCACGAAAATCCCACTGAAATATTGAATCCTAAATGATTTTGCCTTTTGAGTGTTGTTTCTCAATTTATTGGGCGGTTTTATGTTCCCATTTCCCAGCAAATCTAATTATTACTATTTCCCATGCCGTGTTTTTTCTCTGAAGGACAAACAATTAAGAAATTAAATAAACTGCAATTTAATATTGTCCATTTCGTTTCACTCGTAACTTTTCCCTCTCAAGCATTTTCCGCCTAATTCAACGACAAATGCTCAGATATGCTTGAGAATGCACATTTTCTAGCGCCGCATTAATGGAAATTTGTTGGAAAATTCACTGGAGATGATCACTCAAGGGATTCCATGCGCGGGACGACAAATTTATGAGCATCACAATGAATTTGTATCTATTTCTGGTGGCACTGACAACTCTTTGTTTTTCCAAGCCGAGGATCCATCTCCGGAATCCATCCGCCGGAATGGGAAAGGAAAACAGTTGGGCAGCGACAGAAATAGTTTGCTAATTATTCAGTTCAGACACACAGTCAATCGTCGACTCAACTGCCGTCTTGACGCTTGGAAGTCAATGAAAAACTGACCCAAATCGCCTCTTTGAGAAAAAATCAAACACGCCAAATCGCTCCTCTAAATAACTGCTGATCGCACAGTGAGACGCCAAAGACGCTCACGCAACACTTCTTCTCAATTACTTCCGGAATTTATTGCAACTCAACGATGAGATATGGAGGGATGGCAAGTGGCATTTATGCAAATAAACCGACAACTCTCTGATTTATTCCCCGCCAAACAATACGCGGCACTGCAGCACGCGGCGAAAGCAACTGACGTTGAGTGAGAAATTGCCCACGGCCAGAGGCTGACAACTGCTCAAAGACAGGGTGGAATTTGGCAAGGAAGCGACACACAACAGGCGCTATGAATTGGGAAGAACTCCAACAAGCTGAAGATTAGAGCGGGATTTATGAATGAAGACAGGAAGAATTTATTGTGCTTAAGGGTGATCTTATGAATCTTTATTACACGAAATTGCAGATTTAAAGACAGACATTTTCAGGTCAAGAAACTTGTCTGCAGTCAATCACAATTCGCATAAAATGCTTGCAATTTATACGATCAGATTGATCAACATTCTTTTTCTTTTAACTTCAAGTAAATTCACTAAATGCCATTTGCATATTTGCAAAAAGCTCTTAACTGAATTGTCTTAGATTATTGCTGTATTTTCGAATGAAAATCAATTTTACAGTTTCTGTGCAGAATCTTTGGCACTTCAGACACTTCTGAATGCCTTTGAATGTATTTTTCATAATCTAATCTATGTTTTTTTCGTCACAGGAAGTTAAAAACTTCTTCAAATGCTTAGATTTCAGATCGTAAAAAATTATTTGAATTTCATCTTGAACAATTTCAGTCTTGATTAACCGCGAAAATAAGTCAGCAAAAAAATATATTTCTAGATCTAAATAACATTTTTGAGGTTATGGTTGACTTTTAAGCTCTTTTTTCAAATCAATATGACGTTTTTTCGATAAAAAATGCTCAATTTTTCTGCGAAAAACAAAAATATTACAAACTTGAGCACAAATTAGATGATTTTTAGGATTACTTAATCGCCAGAATCTGTTTTAAATCAATCACATAACCTAGAAAAAACAATGAACTTGATTCTTTTCAGCAAAATAAATTCGCTAATTGCCTCAATTTATTGAAATAAAAGGTTTTACAATTCAAATATTGAAAATATTTCACCATTTACCAATTCCTAACACTTCCGTAAAGTGTTGTACACCATTTCCGACCATAATATCTGTCCCATGCGTTTCAGTTCGATGTTATTTATTGAAATTGTGATAAAGAACAGAGAAAATATATAAAAATTTCAGAATTATTATGTTTAAAGGGCAATTTTCCAAAGGAAACTTTTTTCTTGATAGTTAAAGACGCTATGTGTGAATCCATGCTATTCTTTAAGGAGAATAAAATCAACTTTTTCCAGCACTCATTTTCCCCTTTCTCTTGGACAGCAGCAACTCTTCATGTCTCAGCAAATAAATCAATTGAACTATTTCTCTCCAACTCCAATCAATCAAATGCAAATCGAATAGCATTTGCAAGTTGAAAAATTGCTTCATTTCCTTCTCCATTCCATCTAATGATTTCCTCATTGCAACTCTGACGAATTTCCACGCTCCTCTCCCGCCATCTATTGCCGTTTTTCCACCGCGCTGGTCTCTTTGAAAGCTCTTCTGATGCTATTTTCGCATAGAAAATTCCGACCACTTTCATTACCATTGGATCATTTCTCTCGGGGTGTTTGCAATCGCTGGTGATTTGGCATTGTGCCACGAATGATTCGCAAAGTGAGCATTTGGAAAAGCTCCCTGCTGAGATGAGTGATCTTACCCGTGGATTATCAATCGAGATCATTCGTGATATTCATAGATTGTCTGCTTCATCTTCGCCCACAAATGAGAGACTCACGTTGGGACTTTCAGCCATAACTCATTCACGAGTCGTGTGGATCTGGCGAGCATAAATTTCTATATAACTCTTTTTTGCAATTGGAAGTGCGCGCGCTTCGAAGGCTATTTTCAGCATGGCAAACAGGCGAAACAACTCGCCACCAAGGTACTGCATTCCATCGCTAATAATCCTCATCGGAGCAATCTTCTTCTCTCAAAGGACGACTGTTTTGAGAAATTATCCACCCTCAACGCTGAAGAGGGGCTCATTCACCCCAAAAAAAAGTCGACCCGAAATTGCTTAATTGCCAGCAAAACATTCTACAAAGTGACCATTTCCCGCATCTTAATTGAAAATTGCCGCATTCAAATGCCAAGAAAGCGCCTCAACCTTTCATCGGCGAGTCTTTAACCTTGCCAAAAGCTCATTTTCGCATTTTTCCACTGCCAATTTTCATGCGAATTTATGTTATCTCTTTCTCTCCATTAGCAATTTGTCATGTTGAACAGAAATTGTTGAAAAACAGCTTGAAAAAACATTTTAAATACAACATAACCTTAACTAACCTAAAAAAAAAAAATTCTACAAGGAAGAAATTTCTAGTGGAATTTTAACAAAAATATTTACAGAAATGCTTCCTCACGAAGAATTTTTGGGTGGAAAGCCCCGACTTTGCGTTGTGTTTTAAATTAGACTCAATGATTTTCGCTCATGTGAATCACCTTCAATGAAGAGAAGAATCCAGAAGCATGAAAATTTACACTCTCTTTAGAGGCATTATTAAAATGGTGATTATATTGTGGGATGACTTTTTCGTCGTTTGAGTTGCGCAACAACTTAAACCGGCGTCTCGGCGTAAACCCAAATAGATTCTTGGCAAAGGGACTTTTCTGGTGTGAAACCAAAAGGAATTCATCGTTAAAACTTTATGACATATCTTCCATTGAGGATTCAGGAAGTTTTTGCACCCTGAATGGACGGCAAAAGGTCATAGATTACTTTGCGTGAAATTTGGCACTAATTAGGAGACTTTAGCAATTTATTAATGCAATGCATTACAACACAGAGGGTCATTATTTGCATGAAATTCTCCCTTCAATGAGTGTCGCGTAAATATGTATGCGATGTGGTTGAAAGCGAGATGATTTCGCTCAATGCTTGCAGAGAATGCGGAGAATAAGAGGATTAATGGGCGGGGCTAATGAGAAGGCGTGGCTTAAACAGCATTTCCTGTGACAATATTGAATTTTAGTGCGTTCCATCAATTTCATCGCTGCTCTTCTTCACGGTAAACCCTTCGAGTTGGTGCAAATAATCTCAACAAAGTGGATAAAATTGCGAGAGCAAGAGAGAGAGTGTTCGGCATCAACACACGTGAATTATCCTATCCAACACCTCAGGAATATTTGTGTGGCCGAGTGTCTAAATTTACCAGCGATCCTACACCAAAATCTCTTAACAGAAAATCAACGCGCGCACTTCAGTGCGCAAGATCGCGGCGATTTCGAGAGCCGAATCGCGAAATCGCCTGGGCTTTCCATAACACCTATTCGAACGGCTGAGGACTGATCGAATCAGTAGATCGTCAGCCTTGCTCCGGCGCAACAAAACTTTCTCGGGTGATTCGGTGGTTCGCGACAGTTCAACTTTCGAGTCGAGAAAGCTCACGAGTGGTCAATTGTTTGTGATTTTGCAGCCTCTTAGAGGAAATCCGGTGGGAAATTTAGTTAACAAATTGCAAATTATATAGCAGAGAGAGAGCTTTTCCTCAAATATATATTGTATAGGCGCAGTGTGTTTCTTGGGACGCTTTCTTTTAGAGCTTTTAGAGCGCTTTATAAGTGAAGAGTGCACGGACTATCCACACATTACTTGGGCTCTAATTAAGAAATCTTTGCAAACATCTTTGCAGTCTGTGTCAGTCGTCAAAGTGAAATAAAAGCCCCGAGGAGAGCTTTTTCAAAATGTCCACAGCCGTAAAAACATCGAAATATTCCTACCGATCGACAGGAGGCGGAAGTGCCGATGTCAACATTGAATACAGTGCCGATTTGAGTGCTCTCTCTCGCCTCGAGGTAAAGTCCTTTCTCCAACGAAAGCACTTATATAAGTTCTCTCGAAAGATAACATTCCAAACAGAAATTACATAATTTAGCAACGGATCTTCAGTGAGCTTTTGTGTTGTCTTGCAGGACAAAATCCGTCTCCTCCAGGATGATTTGGAAAGCGAGAGGGAGCTCCGTCAAAGGGTGAGTTGTGACACCGACGAAAATCACTTATTTACACAATTTGAAAAAAGCTCTCTCACCGCAAGAGCTTTTGACAAACAAAATTCCTTCAGACAAACATTCACAACCTCTGATAAAACGCAGAAAGTAAAGGGTTAACAACGACACTCTTTCACTTTGCGACAATAACCCATTACCTAATTCTCTAACCTTGCATCATCAGCCATTTCACTGTGGGTTTTACTTTGTGTGCCACTTTGGCACTCAATAAAAGTAAGAGTTTTTCCTTCCGCTGACAATCTCAAGAGCTTTTCTCTCCTCAATTTCACTGTGCTGAAAGACGCACCCTAAAGTGGGTTTCTAGAGTCATTCCAGTGCCTGAGAAAATTGATATGATGAAAAATGCTTCGTTACTTGTGTGTCGAGAGAGAGAAGAAGCATTTCAGTATGGCTGAAAATACCGATTTTGTGAAAATTCAGACTACAAGCTATTAATAGATGACTTCTGCTTAAAAATATTCATGAATCACTTCTCATGTGAGCCGCGTTTGAGAAAATGACCTACGTTTTCGTATTCCTGTTGATGATTCAAAGCGGCATGATTGCCTTTTCTCTTCCTCCAATGCATATAAATTGCCATTTCTCATCATCCCTTATCGTCTATTTATTGAATTAAATGTCGAAATTTCGAGAAATCATCACTTTGCCGATGATCGTTCTCACCTGGAGACTCACTCTTTTTTTTTAAATAGACCACTGGCGCAAGAAATCGCCAGTGATCGTCGGAAAAGCTCTCACACGGTAATTTTATCTTTTCAGAAACACGGAAGAATGTGCGTGGGTGCAGCCCATTTCACAGCCTATATACATGAAAATCTTACACAAATATTTCACTGAATAATTTTAGCCACACGCTCGCTGTGAAAAGTCTCTTCGCTCCGCATAATCTTTCTCATTTCGACATTTTCACCTCGCTTTTATTCACACAGGAGTGAAAATTTAGTGAAAAATGATCGGAGAGATTGGAAAAGATTTATACGAATTCCTCAATCGCAATGACGATCATTGGAAAATGTTCAAAATCACTCAAAAGATGTCATAGAATGATCGCAATGTACATAAAGTATGTATTTCGAATACATATCATGCTCTAATTAAAACATAAAGATCATGTTGAGCATGAAAATGAGAAGAAATCATATTTCCTCATCGATAATCCTTTTGTCCTATTTTCGCCATAGGATCAGGATCATCATTAATCTCGAGTTTTTGCTCATTATAATTAATTTCACTCGCCGTAAAGCTTAGAAATTGACCAAAATGCAACCATTTCTTCCAGATTGAGCGCGAGAAGGCCGACCTTAGCGTCCAGGTGATCGCCATGTCTGAGCGTCTCGAAGAAGCTGAGGGTGGTGCTGAGAATCAGGTGAGATCATGTGATCTTCAAATCAAAGAAACAACCTCTAACATCAATCCTTTCCCCCCGTTTTCCAGTTCGAGATGAATCGCAAGCGAGATGTGGAGATGACGAAACTCCGCAAATTGCTGGAGGACGTGCACCTGGAGTCTGAGGAGACGGCCCACTTGCTGAAGAAGAAGCACCAGGAGGTCATGGTTGACTTCCAGGAGCAACTCGACCTGCTGACCAAGGCGAAAGTGAGGTAAAGCTGCGTTGGCAATCAAAGGTGTTTGAAAAATTTCACCCCATCATAACGATCATCGATGCTCACGACGAGAGAGAAGAGCATTCTGAGCGGCGCATGCGAATCACGATCGATGAAGATATTTTTAGCATAAACTCTGTTTGCTCGACACTCCGGCCAAATATGTCTGCCCCTTCGCACAATGATCATTCTCGCCTCTTTTCGCCGACACCGTCAAATCAGAAATTTGATATGTGGAAGCGGGATGGATAGTCATAATGCTCAACACACTCCTGCTTCATTTGCCGAAATTCCACCATAATTATTGTACACATTTTATACACACACTCAAAAAAAAAGAAGTTCCGCGCGCGCGACGCATAGGAAAATTAGATCATTTGCTGCGATCCTCGCCGATGCACCACTAAAATTGTCAACTGTGGCGCGTGAAAATTATGCAATTGGAGAAAATATGAATTTATGCGGATGCTAAAATGTTGCAATTGCGTCGAGGTGCAGCATCACACCGACAGGTGGATGATAAATTATTGAATGTTGGATGGTTGGCATAAATAGATCGTGTGTGTGTTTCCCCACAATTCAGCCTATGTGATCATCGCGCGGCTGAGATTGCGAATGGGAGCAGAATCGGGTTAATGAAGAGATATACTTACAGTTGACGATATTTCAGCTGCGATAATCGTTATGACTGGAGATGAAATGAAGCCGCAGATTGAGAGCAATGATGATAAAATGTATCAATTATTTACAGGGCCGAGAAGGAAAAGTCCAAATTCCAATCTGAGGTCTACGAACTGCTCTCCCAAGTGGAGACGGTGAGCAAGGAGAAGGTCCTGGTTGTGAAGCAGGTGGAGAAGCTGGAAGTGCACATCTCTGAGTTGAACGTGCGCATTGAGGAGCTCAACCGCACTGTCCTGGACATCACGGCCCACAAGACCCGTCTGTCTTCTGAGAACATCGAACTGGTGAAGGAGGTGCAGGACCTCAAAGTCAACATCGAAGCCGTCATATACTCCAAGTCTCAGGTCGTGACCCAACTCGAGGATGCCCGTCGTCGTCTTGAGGATGAGGACCGCCGCCGATCCACCCTGGAAGCCAGCCTGCACCAAGTGGAAATCGAACTCGACAGCGTCCGCCTGCAGCTGGAGGAGGAGTCCGAGGCCCGTCTGGATCTCGAGCGTCAGCTGGTCAAGATGACCGGCGAGGCTCAGTCCTGGCGCGCCAAGTACGATGCCGAGGCTGCCGCTCGTGCTGAGGAGATCGAGGAGTTGCGTCGCAAGTACACCGCTCGCATCCAAGAACAGGAGGAACACATCGAGTCTCTGCTGGTGAAACTCAACAATCTGGAGAAGCAGAAGAGCCGCCTTCAGAGCGAGGTTGAGGTGCTCATTATCGATCTGGAGAAGTCCAATGCCACGGCTAGGGAGCTCCAGAAGCGCGTTGACACCCTTGAGCGCACCACCATTGAATTGAAGACACGCCTGGATGAGACAGTTGCCCTCTACGAAGGTGCCCAGCGTGATCTCCGCAACAAGGCCGCCGAGATTCAGCGTCTCAACCACGAATTGGACAAGGTCAAGGAGCAAAACAACACTCTGTTCCGCGAAAACAAGAAACTGGGAGGTAGGATCACAAATAGTGTGGAATTTAAAGAAATACCGGCTCTAATCAAATCCCATTTCTCCACAGATGACCTCCACGAATGCAAGGCCATCATTTCTGAGTACACCCGTCGCCTCCACGAGTTCGAACTGGAGGTTCGTCGTCTGGAGAACGAACGCGATGAACTTACCGCCGCCTACAAGGAGGCCGAAGCCGTAAGTATTCAACAAAGCTGGAGTTAGGCATCCTAGAATTGACTAACCAACATTTATAGGGTCGCAAAGCTGAGGAACAGCGTGCTCAGCGTCTGGCCTCTGAGTTCAACTCCTTCCGCCACGAGGCTGAACGTCGTCTTGCTGAGAAGGATGAGGAAATCGAAGCCATTCGGTGAGTAAGAATTCGATTTTGAAGGTTGTGTTGGCATTAGATCACGAACCCTTTTACAAAAGAAATTTCCTGACAAACAACGCCAAAAATAGTTTGAAAAAGGCACTTTGAGGTGACGATCGAGATATGATCAACATTGACTTGAGAGTACAACAATGATCTTCAAGTGTGTAAAAGAGTGCTTTAAGTGATTCAAACAACCGCCCTAATAGCATCTATAAATAGATGACAATTAAATTTAGCACTTAGCAATGCGTATTGTTGTTCTCAAGTCAGCCGTTTGACCTCAAAGTTGGGGGATCAAGTTCACAATCTGCTGCCCATTTTGGAGAAGCTGTGCAAATTGCACTGGAATGTGGTCGCGATTGATCGTGAATTGAATCGGCAATCGATTGCGCAGTAGGAAGTGAAGAAGCTCTAATCTATAATTAGGCCCTGAGATGCATCCGGATAAAAATATCACTCGTCGCGGATGATTTGAGGAATTATCACAATGCAGACTCTCTGCTGAAGAATGGCTCTGAAGGTGAAGTGCGACCAGTGAAAAGCCAGAGCGATAAGAGTGACCCATTTCAGTTGAGCGGTGAATGTCCTGAAGGTGCGATCGCGGTGTGTTCTGCAGAATTGAGATCTCGCACACCCTAAATCTCAATTGGCAGAGGGAACAAGTTGAGACTTGAGTAATTTCCCACAATTTGAGAAATTGAGCGAAAAGTGGACCGAAAATAGAGTTCAATGGCAAGCATGGCAAGGAATCGAGCACCCCACCCTAGAGCATCGCCTCTACATGGCGAACGATCGAGTGCAGAGGCACAGAGCCCAGCAGACAAGAGTCGATCGCGAGACTGGCGGGCCAGAACGCTCAACGTCGGGCAGGCAGTGCAGGCAGAGAGAATTGTGAAGATCTGTGAAGAGAAGAGTGGCATCGATCGCCTGATCGAGAGGAATAAGAAGCGTCGACACGAGGATTACCTGCAACTCCTGCGTAAACTCAACGACATCGACATCTTCGCCGAGCGGCACAACTTGCAGCAGACAAAGAAAATCATGGGTGACTACAGACAAGAGGTGCAGATCTCTAAGGAGTTGAAGAAGGCCATTCGTGGCAAGTCGGCTAATGCCATCAGCCGCGCCCTCCTGGAAGAGAGCACGCGCAACATCGAAGCGACGCAGGACCTCTCAATCGAGGAGGGCACCATCGTCCGTTCCAGCAGCATCTCGCGCGGTCGCAGCGAGGCCAGGAACATCCGTACGTTCCATGTGGAGTTCATGGATGACCGTGCCATCAATCAGCTCGAAGCAACAGTGACCAATTCGCTGGAACAAGTGAAGCGTGAACTCATTAACTTCAACTGCAAGTCCACGGAGATCTACCATGAATCAAGGTACAAGCGATAGAGAGAGAAAAGGTGCATCGCCGCTGAAAGTCCCTCTACGCACACCTCCCGTGAGCACACATACAATTGCTCTCGGGGGAATTTAGCCAGGAAATCGGTGCCAATGTTGCGCAAGAGCACGCAACTATAAATAATCCCGAGACATTTTCACTTGCCAACATGACCTCACGGTCCCACAGTACACACAATTCTCCCCATGAAATCACTAACCCCCGTCGCTTTTCCTCTTCCAGCAAGCAGACCGCTCTGGAGATCGAACAGCTCAACGCACGCGTGGTGGAGGCGGAGACCAAGCTGAAGACCGAAGTGGCACGCATCAAGAAGAAGCTCCAGATCACCATCACAGAGCTGGAGATGTCCCTGGACGTGGCCAACAAGACCAACATCGATCTGCAGAAGACCATCAAGAAGCAGTCCCTGCAACTCACCGAACTCCAGTCCAGCTACGAGGAGATGCAGCGTCAGTTGCAGCAGACCCTCGACCAGTACGCCGTGGCTCAGCGCCGCCTCACGTCAATGACTGCCGAATTGGATGAGGTGCGTTCCAACTACGATGTGGCCCTGCGTGGAAAGCGCTCCGCCGAGCTGGCCGTGGAGGAGTGTGGTACTCGCATCACCGAATTGAGCAATGTCAACGTGAGCCTCGCCTCGGCCAAGGTTAAGATCGAACAGGAGTTGCAAGTGATCGCCAGCGACTACGAGGAGGTGACCAGGGAATTGCGCATCAGTGACGAGCGCTACCAGAAAGTTCAGGTCAGTAAACCATAATTGCCATGCGATTGAAGGATAATAACTGACCGTGCAATGAAATTGCAGGTAGAGCTGAAGCACACAGTCGAACTTCTGCACGAAGAACAGGAGCGTGTGGTGAAGATTGAGGCCATCAAGAAGTCCCTCGAGGTTGAGGTCAAGGTAAGAAGCAATAGTATATTGTAAGAGTTACAAAAATCCTAGGGGCGGCTGTGGCTCAGTGGTCAACATGCTTGACTCTCGATGCTACAGTCGTGTGTTCGAATCCCTTAAATCCTTTAACGGAGAAGGACGTGTCCCTCAATGGGATGTTAAAGCCATATAAGTATATAAGAAAGTACAAAACCCTAACATGTGACTTTTTGCAGAACCTCTCGGTCCGCCTGGAAGAGGTGGAGACGAACGCTATTGTGGGCAGCAAGAGAATCATCAGCAAACTGGAGGCGCGCATCCGCGATTTGGAACTGGAACTTGAAGAAGAGAAGCGACGACATGCCGAAACCATCAAGATCCTGAGGAAGAAGGAGCGCACGGTCAAGGAAGTGATGATCCAATGCGAGGAGGACCAGAAGAATGTGCTGCTCTTGCAGGAGGGCCTGGAAAAAGCCAACGCCAAGATCAGCTTGTTCAAGCGTCAGCTTACGGAACAGGTCAGGAAGTTACATGAAGTCTAACCTTGGGATGAAACTGACGAAATCCCAATATTTTCCACAGGAGGGCATGTCTCAACAGTCCGTCACCCGTGTCCGTCGCTTCCAGCGCGAACTGGAGGCCGCCGAGGATCGTGCCGATGTGGCCGAAACCAACTTGAACCTGATCCGCGCCAAGCATCGCACCTTCGTCACGACATCCTCTGTTCCCGGCTCCCAGGTTTACCTCGTCCAGGAGACCAGGACAACAACCACCGATTAAGCCGTGACATCCATTCGAATTTTATCTCAGACACACACCATTTTACCTTTTTTCGGACAGATATTCTCTTTCCCCCATTTCACGAACCCCTTCCCCCTATTTTATTGTCTTTCTGTCTTAGTTTCTTTATTTTTTATTATCAAATCAATTCTGTCATCGCGCGAGAGAAAGCAAAATTAAAAATATGCACAACATTCCCGGCCAACTGAGGGAGATTGGAAGCGGAGACACACGCCATCATCACTCCTTTTTCACTCTTTTCCCCCAAAATGAAAAACAATCAAACAACGAGCGACACAGAGGGCGCAATTTGCCGGGATCCTCTTTGAGAAAAAAATAAAAAACTCACACACAGAAACTTAGAACTCTACTTGAGAGAGAAATCATTTTATAAAGAGAGATAATTATGATATTAAATAAAAAGGATATTTTAAAAAGTCCACTTTTTGCCCATTTGATTTTTGCGAGACATCACAACACGCGCGCGCACCATCTATTGAGGTGATTTCAAACGATGAGAGATGTTTTGACTTCACCTCAAATCAGTGAAAACATTATAGAATTTTAAGACAATTTATAATACATTTAAGAGTTTCTTTTTTTTGGGTGGTAAAACAAAATACTCCTTCTCACATAGTTTCTAAATAAAAAGGAAAAGAAAAAATCTTTAAAGAGAAAAAAAAATTACTTTGTAAGAGCAAAAGAACATGAATCTTCCTCTCTTTTCAACTTGCACAGACTTTTTTTTGTCATCAACACACACGAAGAGCTTCACAGAATAATTTATTTAGTGTAATAATTTCTTATGTCTAATTTACTGGGTTAAATACAAATGCAAAATACATTGTATAACTTCTACTTTTCACCATCTTCAATTGACGCTAAGGGCATTGAGGAGAAAAATAAAAATTGTTAAATTACGTCGACTTACCATTTTATTTGGCGTCTTCTTTTGCCTCTTCAGCATCGCTGTCGACTGTCGATGGTGTGTTTGAACTTCCCACGCCGTTTGTGGGTGAAGGAGGGAAGATTTCTGTGAAATTCTCCTCCAAACTCTGCTCTTCGATCAGCGCAATTAGACTCTGCAGCGTGTCTTTGGCAATGTGATGATGGATGGAGTGGAAGAATCCTCGATAGTGATGGAAATTGTGGCTGAAAAGATTAACAATTATAGTCTTGATGTGTTAATCCTTCAAATTTACTCACATATTGAGCAAAATTGTGCCCATAAGTTCCTTGCAGTCGATCAAGTGCCTCAAATAAGCCCTCGTGTGATCCTTGCAAGTCAGACAATTGCATCCCTGAAGCACTGGCGAGAAGTCTTCGCGGAATTCTTCACTGTTCAAGTCGATATGAAGCTTTTTTCTGCCTTCTTTCTTGTCCTCTGGCTCGAAGTCGAACACCAATGCTCTTTTCTTCAGGCTGTAGAGAAAAGGCAGTGAATTGTCAAAAGCATCCACTCCAAGTTGGATCATTTTCAGCATCAGCAGAGGCGAAAAGGCGCCCAAAACCATCCTCAACTTGTCCTGAGGAAGATTTTCATTGCAGAGCTTCACAATCTCTAGAGTTTCCTTCTCAGGGACGAATAGAGCAGTTTCGCCATTTCCATGGAGTCCATCAATGAACACCCCATCGATTTCCACACTCTTGACGAATTCTATGCTCTTTTGACGATTTTCTCGTGAAAATCCACCAACAATTGGTGCTAAAGTGAAGATTTTCCTCAAATTTTCGCTCTTGCTTCTCATCTCGAGGCACTTCTCTGTAAATTTAATGGTTCTGCTGACGGAATGCACGCCTCTCTTCTTCGATGACTCCACTGTTGTGTCCCCATCGCCCAGGAGATGACAGAAATCCGGCCGGAAAGTCTTCACAAAGTCCATAAAGCTCTCAGGCGAAATGACTTTCTTCCCGTATCTCGTAAATAAAGGCACTCCTGCCTTCTCATGGTGGCCACTCCGAGACTCTGTGCTTGTGTCCCGAAGACACAGGAATGTCGGGCATTCCGGAAGCGCCACAAAACATGAGATACTCTTCCCAGAATCCTTCACACTGTCCAACATTTGGGAAGTTGTGGTCAAATTCACAGAAATTGCTGTCTCTGACAGGTTGGAGGTCAATTCTACCACTTCCCTGGACATGTAGGGAAAGCTTCCGCCCTGAAATGCAGAGAAACCAAGAAAAACCGGGAAATAGAGACAGATTTCCATGGAGAAAGCATGAGAATATGAGGTTAGGATACAAACACGAGTTGTTTGGAGTAAAACAGGTGTTTTCAGCACCACATCCGGCAATCTCTCAATTCCAGTCAATGCTCCCAGTCTTCCTGAACACTTGCTGATGCTCTCCACCATGAATTTCATTGTTGTTATGAGGGAAAAGCAGAGAAATACGGAAGAAAACACGCGTATTTTTATTTTGCGCACAATCAAACTGTGAGCCAAAGCGGCGATATATCGATATAATCGATATTCCATTGAATTTTTATAATAACGACTTAAGGCGGTTAATTCTCTCTGTTTATTTTTCTAAATATTTCTACAAATTTCCGGGAAGATCCTCACCATTTCAAGCTGCACCCTCATACCATTTAGGCTTCATCCACTCACTTTGCTTAGGAGATTGCTTCAGCACCACAAAGGCATTCCCATTGGCGTCTTTTGCTGAGTACTTTGCATTCCCTTCAACCACACTCACTCTTTCCCGGATTCTAGTGGCATTCTCATCAGTTTCCTGACCACCCCCTGCAGCTCGTCTGCCAAATTTAGGAGATCTATATCTTCCCGATGGCGGATCGTCAACATTCTCCACCATTACCCGGAAAGTCGCTGACGAAGGAACTTCTTTTGTGGATGATCTTCTGCGACGCTCTAGATTATCATTCAAATCCTTCCGAGGAGACACAGCGGACGGAATGCGATCTCGTGAGGGAGTTCTCTCCTTTATAATGTAATCACTCTTCGCCTTGCGGTATTCTGGAAGAGCTTCGAACGGCATAATCTCAGGAGGAGTGTGAATATTGGGAGCTGGATTCTTGGTGAATCGTCTAATGTAGCTTCCATCTGGCATGGCGGAGAGACGGAAGTGAGAATCGGGTTTTCTCGTGACAGGACGAGAGCGAGGGAAATCCAGGAATCTGCACTTGTACTCTGGATTGAACTCTGTGTCTCCTTTGAGATTGAGGAAGGGTTCTCTAGCTTTGGCTCTCAGCGGTGGAGCTGTGATGTTGTGATCCTTGAAGCTCTCAAAGTACTCAGGCGGTCTCTTTGAGAACTCTCCGCTCATCTTCAAGTGATCATCCTTCCTCAGCAACTGACATCGTTCCAAAGCGGATCTCTCAGGCTCCCGAAATTGCTCTCGATACTCAGGACGCACGTCAATTTCTCCTCCCAGAAGCAAATTGTCTGGCTTCCTAATTGGCGTGCTTCTATTCACACTTTCGTAACTCTTGAACTTCTCAGCATACTCAGGAACTCCCTGGAAATCCCCCTGGAGCCGAATGTTCGTCATCTGCGGGATTGAGTGGCTCTTCTCGATGACTGGGAACTCCACAAATTTGCTCCTGTACTCAGGACTGTACGCGTTATCAGTTGGTACATTCGACATTGGGAAGTTGTGGCGATTTGTGATCTCCTGAAGTGGTCTGTCCTCGATCCTCCTCACTTCCAGCATGGAATACGGCACGTACGATGAAGCGTACTCGGGATGATAGTCAACTTCCCCGGTTAACTTGAGATTCTCTGGGTATTTGTAGGCACTCGGCCGGCAGTTGCTCAGCTCCTCTTCCAGAAACAGTCTAAACTTCCTCCTGTGCTCAGACTCCGTCTCCATTGACGTCTCAGCCACTTTGAGTGACGTTGGACGCCTCTCGAGCGGTGATCTTGGTGGGACGGGATTTGGGGGATCGTGGAAGCGCCTCTTGTACTCCGTCTTGAGCGCCGAGAAGGGCAGACTGGGCTCAGAGGCGTTGTACAGGCAGATGTTGCTGCGCGTGTAGATCTCAGGTGGCCTCCGTCGGCGATGGAAGCCCAATTCATCCACTGTTATGTACTCATGCGGCAGCTTCTTGTGCCACCTCGAAGTCTGGGGCGGTGACGAGTCCGACAAGTCCGGTTCTGACGTGGATTTGTTGCGGAAGAAGTTGCTCCCGTCCGCGAAGTGTGCTTTTCTGGGGGAGAAATAAGCATTTATCAGTTCTAAAGTTCATTTCGTCCATTTCCGAAAAATGATCGATCGTTTTGTTTATGTTTCGTGACATTTCCGAATCACGATCGATTTTTTTATTTCATACTCTCGATTTTTCTCTTGATGGGAATTGAAAACACAAGTTTGGTAAGATTTCTTTGGAAATTCGCGGAAAAGTCAAAATGTCTCATCTTCTAAAGTCTCCCATTGAGCTTTTAAGATTGTTTTGTGATGCGCAAAAGTGCTCAACGCCGAAATATCAAGATATTTCTCACATATCCAATGACGCCAACTTTATATATTCAGTGGAGGTTTGTGCATTTCCTCGTAAGGAAAACACTGTAATTATTGTAATAATTTCTAATCTCTTTCGCAGGCTTGTGGCAAGAGATCCACAGGCTGTGGATTCACAAGGGAGCACGCGAAAAATGCTGCTGCGCAGAAACTCCTGAAGATCATTCCGATTAAGCAGGAACCGCACGAAGAGCCCAAGAAAGCACAAGAAAATGCGCAGCCTTTCTTTAATTACGTGGGCAAATTGATGGAGAAATGCGTGAAGGAAAGGCTTCCAAAGCCAGTGTTTGGCTGCTGCAAAGATCCTCACGGATTCCAGGTTAAGTGCGATGTGATGAGATTGAGTGCTGTCGGAAGGGGTTCTACAAAGAAGGAGGCCAAGCATGCGGCAGCGAAGGAAATGCTAAACATCCTATCTTCTACGGCTCCTGCGCAACCTAATAAGAGTGGCCAGAAAGGCTCTTTCAGCTCATCTGTCGTCCAGCAGAATTTCTTCCTGAATATAGATCCGGATCGCATTGAGGCAGCGAAGAAGCTTCTGACTGAGGCTCCCGAAGGGAACAATAAGAAGCAGCTGGCGCAGGACATTTGCCAGCTCCTGGGAGTTCCATTTGTGACCTACACAATTTCTATCGACGACAAGACTGTTGAGGTCTTCGAACTGGCTGTAAATATGGTTCTCATCCAGCGAGGCGCTGCTGGAGAGACCTTTGAAGGACCTCTGAAGACCCTGAAGGACATTCTCAATGCTTGAGCTTATGATTTTATTATTACAAGGATTACAAAAGTCTTTTTGAACTGATTGAGATCATTATTACATGTATTTTTACAAGGAATAAATGTATTGAATTGAATATAAATGTGATTTATTTATGTCTCCAATCTTGTTTTATAAAATCCGCTCCTTTCTCGCCAATCATTATCGATGGGGCGTTTGTGTTTCCTCTTGGAATTCTAGGCATAATGCTGGCATCAATAACTCGCAATCCTTCAATGCCTTTAACTCTCAATCTGGGATCAACAACAGCGTCTGAATCTCGTTCTGGTCCCATTTTCGCCGTTCCCACAGGATGGAAAACCGTCGTTATTATATATCGGCAGTAACATTCCCAGTATTTATCGCTGTTGAAGTCTAAAAGGTCACATTCGGGGATCGGAAATGGCACTAAAGTTGCTCCGAGCGATTGATAAGTGGGCGTTGATAAAAATCTAAGATATAAGCGAATTGCCTTGATAAAGGTCACAACATCTGAAGATTCGGCAAGATAGTTTGCGAAGATTCTGGGTTTATCCATAGGATCGGCACTTCTAAGTCGAACTTCTCCTCTGGAATCTTGCGCCAAGTGTGACACTTCGATAAGAAGAATGTGTGATGTTTTAACTTCCTCAGCAGCGAAATCGATAATGTTCTTAACGTATCCCGAAAGCCTTAGAAATCCTGTGATTCCATCAACATCGCCCTTCTGGTAGAAGAGATTGTAGTACTGAAAATTGGGGTACTTTGCTGTTGGATCGTCAACATTGACGTATCCTAGAGTGGGCAAAGTGCCAGGAGCGGCGAAGTAACCTCTGCGTTCGTTTAAATACAAGGAATAGCGCCGCAATAATTCACTTTCCGTCAATGATGTTGCATTCCAGTGATTTAGTTTGATCATAAACACCACACCAGGATGATCTTGTAGATTCTTTCCAACTTGGAGGTCTTTAATGACTGGAATTTCCATTTCGCGCAGATGATCTGCAGGTCCAATGCCTGATAGCATCAGAATCTGCGGAGTATTCAAGGCTCCAGCGCTGACAATCACTTCCTTCTTGGCATAAGCCTTCAAGTTTTCTCGCCCACCAAGATTCATTGTCACTCCCAAGGCTACATTTTCACTGTCCATCTCAAGTTTGGTCACATGAGCGTGCTTAGCGATGTGCAAATTGGGTCTGTTCATGGCGGGACGCAGGAAAGCAGCGGCTGTGCTTTCTCGCACTCCTGATCTCACAGTTCCTTGAGACAGTGTGAATCCTATGTGTTCATTTGCATTGATATCAAGCACAAAGTCAAAGCCCATTTCTTCGGCTGCTTGAAAAATCACCCTATTAATTGGCGGATCATTGCGGTAGAATTCCACAGACAATGGTCCGTCTTTTGAGTGAAAATGTCCACAAGAAGCACGCGCAATTTCTGCATCGTGATTCTGTTCTGACTTCTTGAAGTACTCCAAGACATCTGAATAGCCCCAAGTTGGATTTCCCAGTGCTTCCCAGTTATTGTAATCATCTTCGTTGCCGCGCACATAAAGCATGCCATTTATTGAACTCGATCCACCCAACATTTTTCCTCTCAACCACCAACCAGCGAAGATGCTGGAATTTGACGGTTCTATATTGTAATGCCAGATTGGTTGCGCATTATCCGCGAACGCATTCTCAAATGCTGGTATCTAGAAGATTAATATTCGGTGCATTCTGTATCTTCAGTACTATTAATCAATTAATCAATTCTTACTGCTGATTCAATTGGAGGATCTCCTCCTGCTTCCAAGAGAAGAATCTTCCAGTCCGGATTCTCACTTAGGCGATGCGCAACAACAGATCCAGCAGATCCAGCTCCGACAATTATGAAATCATACTCGCCAAAACCTGTGTGAATTGTTGCGAAATTTGCCGAATTATAACTCAAAAACCCGCTAATAGTTTGATAAAGTGTGAAATCAATTTTAAATACATTTTATAAAGTTCTTTTTAAAGTTCTATATTAAAATAATTTAAAATATATCATATTATCTCATTTTAAGTCTTTTAGGAACAAACATTTGAGGAAAAATAAGCGTTTTTGCTAAATAAAATTACATGAATTATAAAAAAATTGACTTTTCACAGTTTTCAATTCACCCGTCGACATAAAAGACTGTTTTTTTTTACCTTTCTTCAGAGCAATTTCTCCATAATCTCTTGGCCACAATTCTGGAGATGAAAGTGAGCACTGAGATATTGCTAAGTATTTAATGAGTAGTGATAAGAATTGATTTGCCGATCCTGTACTTAAATTCGGACACGTTGATATTAATTGTTCCATTTCTTGTACACTTTTTCAACTTCTTTTCCACTTCCAACGCACTGGTTAAAGAGAAGTTTACACTTATACAAGTTGAATGCGACTAAAGTGTTCTTCGAAAAGCGCGGATAATATAACGATACATTGGAAAGTAATATAAATGACATTGAGAACTCGAAATTTAAGCACGCTTCGATGCATGTTTATAAGAGTGCGAAAGTTGCTTTCTGCGCTCTTATTTTTTGCGAGGTTCTGTTGGTATTTAAGTCTTCGTCATTCCCTAAATTTACCGTCTTTCTTCAGGAATTTCCCATCAAGAAACTCCTTCGCATAGCAACACTGCGTCGGAATTTAATCAATACAGCGCTGAAATCCGCGAATCAATAGTGGAGATTGATTGAAAACTTTTCACTATCATTTCCAAGGGCTGAACCTTGAACCCGTCACTCAATTCTCCAGGGAAATCAAATATAGACTCTCGTGGTCAATAATGCAGACTTATTGATGGGCAATGCTTGAAATCAATATGTTTGACCATCGGATTTACACACGGATTAACTATTCATTTACCCAGATGAAGTCTGGAGTGTTTGAGGATCTTTTGCTGTCTCTCACGGCCACTTAATTGCACACAAAGAGTTTGAAGAAGCTCTTCACTCGTCAAAAGCTCTCGCGACAATGCCGAGTCGCTCTGCGTGCCATCAATAAACTTCCCCTCCGTCGAATCGTCCTCAATTTAATCGCTTATTTACGCGACTTTTTCCAGGAGTTGGGGAAAGTCTGCCGTCGCTTGAATTCCTTGAATTGCTTTCAGTGGAAAGTTCACGGTCAATTTGCGCCACAAATGAATCGCCAAAAACAGGCGAAATGTACGGAAAAACGTTGAATTTTTCAAATTTTCTCATCCAATAGCCAAGAAGAGGAGGAAAAACACCAAATTCTGACCACCAAAAGCTTGTCAGGTGGTGAGAAAACAACTCTCAGTCACTCTGGAAACGGACTTTCGTGTGTGGCTTTAGCATGATTTCCATTTCGGAGAGTTTCGCTGCATTTTAATTCCTCCACGGAATAAACTTGCGTCCTATTTTGGATTCCTATTGACAAATGACTTGAGCTGCACTGCATTTGATTTCTGCCCTAGTTTCATGTCTCTAAATTTAATTCTGCAGTTGGAGAAATTATTGCCAATGTGCGGTCTTTAGTCAAGCACAAAAGCCACGCGAATCCATAAATAAATGTTTGTGAGGTGTTTGAATGGATTTTTACGCAAGGATAATGACTTCTTTTGTGCCTCGCTCAAGGTTACAATAATATTTTATTTCGCGTGAGAAATTAATTTCTCATCGGAATTTGGAGTGCAGAGTGGAGAAATTGAACTGAATTTCCAACTCAATTTATCTCTCCGAGCTAAAATGTTGCTTTTTACGTGATTTCTTAATCACATATTTGTATGATTTCTTGGCGTGTTCACACAAAACTTATCCTTTTTATTGCTTGTGTATATTTAACACTTTTTATACGCCCAAAATAAATCTCTGTGATATTTTTATGACCTTCTTTTGCAAATAAGAAAATCTTTTGGCTATTTATAGAGAATGAAAATCCATTGTCTTGATTGAAAAAAAGAAGAAGAAAGTCTCTAATGACTTCCTCGGGCGCGGAGTAAAAGTGCAGGGAAAATTCTCACGCGAGGCGAAAAGGTTAATCAGTGTGATTTGCATGCAAACTGGGCTGCAAAAGGGGTTTGGAAAGTGACATTAAACTTGCACTCCATGTGCAAGTTAACATCGTGAATCTTGCAAGTGGGTCAGAAAAAGGAATTTGTGTGAATATTGCATCAGTTTCACTCACTTTTTCAATTTTCTCCTCATTTTATCACTCTTTCGCTTCGATCAATTTTCCCTTCGCGCGATCGCGTGCATTTAAGCGGTGGAATTTACATAAAAATCCCTCTTCGTCGGTGGGGTTGATTTTCGTTTGAGACAATCTTGTAAAAAAAAGCTCCACAGCTCGCGACTTGAGGAGCTTTCGCGTGTGCTTCTCGCAGAACGACTCACGATGGACTGAAGGGCGATTTTCTTGAGTGAAAGTAAAACCACCGTCGAAAGGGGGTGAAAAGTCGCATTAGGACGTGGATTTCCGCCCGATTGAATGGGACTCGCGTTGGGTTTTCCAGCTCAAGGCTTCCCTCTGGGAGTTGAAGATTGATTTTCAGGAGAGATTCCAGCGAAGGTCGCCGATAATTAATGTCTTGGGCGAGAGATCTTAAAGCAGGGCGGGAAAATTCACGATTTTGAGTTCGTTCACTGGGTTGGATGGACAATTGACACAACAATGCGACAACCTTGGCGCCTTTCGATTCACATGACAAGATTTCTTCCAATGCATCGCCCTTGGAGCCCTCGAATCGTTCACACTCACGCAAATGCCAGAGTCTTCCAAAGAGCCCAAGAATTGGGTCACTGAGGAGCGTTTCTCGCTCATTTTCACACGATATCAGTGTGATTCCGCCCACTTTATCACTCATGTGGGCCCGTAAACATTTACGAGCCACGCGTCAATGGTCAGAGATGAAATATGAAGTGAATATAAATCCCTCGTGACTGCGAAATGTAGGTATATTGTAAGTTCTCAAGGGTGGGATTTAATTGTACAAGTAAACGAGAGATGAAATATGTACATATGTATTAATTATTATTGAATATTGAACAAGGTTTTCGATAGTTTAAAGTGCAAAAAGATCATTCGATTGAAAACTTTTCATTGACTTAGCCGTATTTGCGACTTTACTTTACTAAACTGTGTTATAAGATTACGATTCATAATATTTATGAAAGTGTGGAATTTATATTCCAGAAGGCAAGAAACCTATAAAATACACGTGAAAATCAAGAAAATTTACAAGAATGATGTTTTTATGTTGATTAGCACACATTTATTGGGTTTTTCTGGCCACTTGTGCACATTTTAATGCACCAGATTGAGGTTATGTGTTTCCGAACGTTGATATTTTGATTCTATTTATTGCTCACGCGTGCTTGTTGTGACACGCATAGCAAAAGCATCTTCTAGGGCATTTTTTTCGTACTGTTGAACTGATTCTTCGCGTTTGATGGCTGAAATTCATATTAAATAAACTTTAAGCTAAATATAAGATGTAAAAAGCGTAAAGTTGCAACCCAAAATCGTAACTTTTACGAATTGAAGTACGAAATCTTAATGTTGTGAGTGTTTTTCATATTTAATTAGGTACAATCTAAAACCGCAGGCAACACTGGTTATTTTTAATCATTGGAAAATGTATGTTTTTTTTTAACACTCATTGACTTTTACACCCCTTAATACTGGCCTGTTCGTCACTCTTCTGGTTCAGTTCTCGGCTGAAGTTTTCGTGAGTTGCTCGCGATGTCGCACACAACTGATTCGCAGCTCTTTTGCCACCTTTTCTTCACCCTTTCGCAGCCTGTCGGCGCCAAAAGGTGGGCGAGTCCCGACGGGAGCATTCCCCGAAAAGCTCCCCAGGGATTTTGGTGTGAGACTGTGTGGCGATGTTGGATGTTGGCACTCTGGCAAAGTGTCTCGACGTCTCGCGACGATGCACTGGCGCCAGGCGGAATCCCTTCGGCGTCGAGTGGAAAGGATACACACTGTGTGAATTGCACAGTGACTTTTGAGCCTTGGCAATTAATCACGCTCCGCTTCCCCAGATTGCATTAGGAGTCAATTAAGAGATTGACCGAGAGGAATTCGATCCTTGGCGGGAAACTGAGCAGATGGTCAGGCGCTCAGTTGGATGATATGCATCTAATTAGCATCTCGGCGAGAAGGCAATTGAGGGGGTATAAAATCAGTAGGCTTCCGAAGCTCACAGGCTCCTCTATTGTGCTAATGAAGGCGAGAGAGAGCGCGGTTTTGCGGGAATTCCTCAGCTTGGAGCGCGATGTAATTAGCACGTATTTGCTGAGGCCACGGGAGACACTTCCGCCGTGGCGAGGCCATAAATTGGAGCGGGATGGGGTCACAATTGGAGCACAGAGGTTCAGCGGGATCGCAAGACAATGGCATGTGATGTGAGAAGGAAGAGAAATGGCGCAGAACGGGCACTAAATTTCCAGTCCGTTGGCGGAGAGGAAAGTGTCTGAAATTACTATTGGATTGCAGATCTTGAGCATCCTTAAGAAAACTTTCAAACACAATGAGTCCAACAATTCTCGCACTGTTTTCTCCGTGAAATTAGAGACGCTCAGAGAGCAGAACAGGTTAGTCAGGTGCGGGGATCACTAAAAACTCTCCCTTGACTTGATCGATGAAAGTCCATTGCCTGGAAATCAATGCGAATCAATAGAGACCAACAGAAACGACACAAATTCCCCTCCGGAGATAATTGATGACGGCCTGAATGACTGCAATTAGACACAAACCATTGATCTGGGCGGAAAATTCTCAGGATGAAGCCATTGAGAAAAGTCCCGTCGTCGTCTCTCTAGCTGGCGTGATTTTTTTTGTTGATCGTGAAATTGAAGAATCCCTTATCAGCCATAAATCATTTTTCTTGAGACGGAGGGCCGAAGGGAGAGTCGCTGGCCGCGCGGAATGGCTCAAGCCAGCCAACACAAAACGTTTTAATCATGAAACAAACAGCCACTCTTCGTCTCCTCTTTCTGCGGGATTTTTGTTGCTGCCTCACCAGCAGCACTGCCTCTTAAAATTGCGCACATTCTACAAGTTCGCGAGGCAGAGGCGAATTTTCCATCATCCGGAGAAATATGATTCGCGCAGGTGAAGATTTGATTGTGATTTTCTGTGAGTTTGAGGATGATTTTCGGCAAAAATGAGATCTCTCAAGGGGTGATCTTGAGGAGGGCGCTTAATCCCCTCTAAGATCACCCCCTCAATTCGTTCTCGTGAATCACTGGAGCTATCGATCGCGAAATGCTTGAAAATGGAATGAAATAAATGGCGGAGGGGACAAAACAAGCCAGTGTCACTCACTTCACTCATATTGCATTTAATTGAATCTTTCTATATAAGAAGGGAGTGCAAGACAAACGTACGATCAGCACAAAGAAGCTCGGCTAAATCCCTTCGACCGAGGACGTCAAATCAGTTCACATTTGACGATCAACACCGTTGGACCGTGATCGCCCTAAACACTTTCCTCGCCGATCTCAAGTCCGCGCCTCTGCTGATCACGTGTCGTGTAACGATCGCGCGATGATCTTTTCTTTTTTATTATCTCCGCCGCGGAGTGCCAAAAAGTGTCGTTTTCTGTGGAGTTGAACGAGATTTCGTGCGCCCAAGAAATAATTAATAATGTCTGTGGCAGTTTTTTATCACGATGAAATGTTGACTTTCCAACCGGTTTGGCGCGATTTGTAGATCGCGGGCCCACCCACACCATCTCCCGGCCATGCAACACATCGATCGCGCGCCGATCTTGATACATTGTGAAACACTTTCTCATGGCGGACCATTAAACCTCTGCGCCCCGCGATCGTTAAGGTAAGGAATCGTGAATCATTTCACACAGCGCTGAGGATCATCTCTTGAATTTCAGACGCGGAATTCACTCAATAAAATTATTAATTGCGCCCAGAATATATCCAGCGACATGATGGAGTGTCGTAAAAATTAATTTTCTCTCCTCAGCAATTTCATTTTACGCGCTCAAACCTTCGGATTTCCTATCGATATCGCGGCGTTCTCGTTTTCCCATTCCGTTCACCCATCGTGGGATACTTTTTTTCCCCCTCATCTTGAGGCCAAATCGGCGAATGTTATGCAGAGTGTATAATTTTGCGTTCGCGGGCAACATTGTTGCGGGGCGGTGGAACGATCGTGCCGGCGATTAAGCGTGACAATGAGAAAAACAGAAAGTTTGGATGGAATTCTCGAATTTCTGTCTCAGAAATACACTTTGCAAGTCCTTCTCTTTTCTCCATTTCTCTACAATATATAATTCATGTTCTTATCTCACTCTCTGAAAGCTCATTTTCGCAGCGTAATTGAACATACTTGTATAGGATGCGGAGTGTGCGAGATCGATCAATGGCCGCCTCTATCTCGCGATCGTACAAGCCGCAGCATAAGTGAAAAAATACTGCTTGTATTCGTCGATCATCGGCGCAATATATTTATTTGCACCCTTCACGTGATCATTAATATGCAGCCAGGAACATGGGAGGAGAACATTGGGCGATGTTCCGCGGATCGCGGCCATAAATAATGCCATGATCACACGTGATCGCTCCACTTTGGCCTATCCCGGCCAATTTCTCCGCGCTCACTTCTCACGTTGGCACGCCGGCGAGCCGAAATGGGCTGTGTTACGCAATAAATTAATAAAACACCACAACTTCTTGTGATCTCCGGACGCTCAAGATCGCGCGCACGATCAAAGGTGTCACTCTCGGGATGGTATTTAATTTCCTCAACAGCATCACAAGCTAAAGACCATAACAGAGTGTCTATTTTGGTGTGCTGCAAAGTCAGCGAGTGAATCGATCATGTTCCAGTGAAAGTTTCCTCACCGCCACACGATCGCGAAGATCACAACATTCGCCAAGGCATTTGCAAATCGCGCGCAGTGTAAGTATTCGCGCTGCGCCCACAAGAATTAATCGCCAGGCAATTGTATGACATGAAAATTACTTTCGCACGATCATTTTGAATTTGGCTGAGAATCACCTCAAATGAGTGATCTTCTTGTCCGGAGTAATTTTCATGTCGATTTAGTGGCACGACAGCGAAACAAGTCCCCTGTTGATCTGTTTCTACGACATAAAACAGCAAACGATCACTTCCATCACGATATCCACCTTCTTGATTTCTTGTCTCTCCTTTTGCGATCTCACTCTGACATCGCAATTATTTATTCACCACGGCGATTTACAGATTCTAGTGGAGTTTAGAATGGAAAGGACATTGTTTAACACGAAGTGT